TCATAAAAATGCATGCTTTGTTTTTCCTAGATTGTAGAAATGTATTTTTTTAAGTGACACATTTTAAAATGTATGAACGAATGACATTACATAATACTGTAATATTTGAACCCCCTTTATGAAGTAGATTGCTTAACTGGAGGCTTTGTGTTGTTATAAAGACACCAAATTAATTTTAAGATTGCCTGTTTGAAGGAAAAGTTGAGATGAAAAAGCTATGATTGCTGCTTGATTGTTTTCATGCAAAAACTTTACTGTATCAAATAATTAAAACATTTTAAAAGTTACTTGTCAAGGGGCAGGTATTAGACAAGGGACATAATTCTGAAAGCTCAATATTTTTGGAGTTATGCCTTTTTTTTTGAAATTTTCAAAAGTAGTTATTTTAAGAGAGGAATGTTTACACTGTATGCTGTGCTCTTGTCTTGTCTTGGACTTGAAGTAACTTTTAGAGATTATTGTTTCATTTCATCTAGGTTTAGACCAGTGACGTGTGTAGAATTTTAGTTCATTCCTTCAATCCGTTTTCAAGAATTATTACTCTAATTTTGAAAACGACACAAAAATTAAATGCGTTGCAATACTTTTTCCCTCGTATCAGGCTAAGAATAGCACAAAATATGATTTCAATATATTTCATAGCATATGTAATCTTATGTGTATCTTTCTGTTTTAAGTGCTAATCTAATAATAATAATTGTAAGAAATTCAAATTTATGTTTTTATGCTCAGTGGAGTTCCTTTAACATGTATCTTGATATTTTTTTTTATTATTATTATTTTTTCAGGGCTCTGTAGCAAATAAAGTTGAAACAGAGCAAATTGTTTATGACACATCAGTAACAGACCTTCACAAGAGTAAGATAGCTTCATTTGTCCAAATGAGAGGCTCGATACCCGTGTACTGGTCACAGGATATCTCTAAAATGGTGCCGAAACCTGTTATACAATGTAAGTTTAGTTTAAAGTGGCATTATCCCCATCCAAGACAATGAAAAAATGAGCATAATGTCACTTTAAACATATTTATTTAACCCTAAGCATTTTTAATATCTTAAATGGACTTGTCCATCTTTTAATTTGGACATAAAACATTTATCATTTTTGGGGAAAATATCAAAATGTTTACTGACTGAATCAGAAACCTATAGTTTCTGTAAGTAATGAGCTTTCTTGGAATATGTGGAAATGATCCATGTAAGGAAACTGTTAAGTTAGCTAAAATAAGGTCAGAGGTTGTAAATTAAGCATTCTGTCTACCTTTGACTTACATCATAAATTGTACATTGTCAGTTGGGGCGTCCGTGGCCGAGTGGTTGAGGTCATTGACTTCAAACCACTAGCCCCTCACCTCTGTGGGTTCGAATCCCTACAGGGACTTTGGATTCTTTCATGTGAAGAAGCTATTCAGCTAGCTTACGGAACATCAGTGGTTCTACTAAGGTGCCCGTTCTGCCTGAAATAATGCACGGAAGGGCACCTGAGGTCTTCCTCCACCAGTAAAGCTGGAACGTCGCTATATGACCTATACTGTGTGATGTGACGTAAAATCCAAAACAAACAAACACTGTCAGTTACAGCTTTAAGTGCACCAATGATTCTTTCAATAAAGCTGGAAAGTCACTATTATTATAACCTATAATCTATATTACAAGGGTTTGACATTTAAACCCAACAAGATTTTAAAAATCTAATTTCTTTTTAACTCTTGCCCTGCTAAATATCTTGATATCTCTGGGAAAGAGCGGTTATCATTTTTAGGGGAAAATTTCAAAAAATTTTACTGACTGAATAGCAGTCAGTGCAGACCATGATCCATGCCATCTGATTTTGGTCTTCACTGGTCACATGGGTTCATTCTTTAGCTATTAGCAGGTTAAGTGTAAATTGTATTTGAGTATGCAACGATCAAATATACTCTATTGATTTAAGGAAAGGTCTTTCAGCTGTGTGATCTAGTTTTTGAAAGTAACATTAAGATCCAAACTGTTTTTACTTTGGATTGAAACCAAAACAAAATTCAAGAAAATTTTATGTTTTTTTCTTTCTTTTTTTTCTTCTTTTTTTTTTATGACACATAGACACAGTATAGGTCATATAGCGACGTTCCAGCTTCACTGGTGGAGGAAGACCTCAGGTGCTGTTAACAATATATGAAAATAAAAGTATTTTTATAAATTTTCAGTGGATCAGAGGGACCCGTACTTTCAAACTGCTGGAATTCATTTTAACAAATGTTTATACAGATATGGTTCACCTGTTTTGCTCCTGAATCTTGTAAAGGTAGGGGTTTTTATTTTCAGTAATTTAAATGGAAATATTGTCAGAAAATAATACGCTGCTGTTCTATTTAAAATGTGCTTGAAAAAAATAGATGTGATGTCATATGATTGATGATGTCATGAATGAGTGTGTATGTTGTTACATGGCAAAAATCATTAAAAATGACTTTAATCCACTAAAAAAAGTATGCAATAAATAGAATATTGGCTTGTTTTGTAGGTAGAATAGAATAAATTTTATTTCTAATCATGGGCCTTTATCACATGATAATGATATTGTACAAGATGAATATGATATTAAATTATATTTCACTTGTGAACACCAGTTCTTATATTTCCACATGTGAGAAATGTGCTGATAAGCTAGACTACTGGATAAGAATAAGAAGAGCTATTGTAGTCACCCGAGCCTCGGTGTCCGTGTCAGCATCGGCGTAACCACTTATGTTAAAGTTTTTGTAATACCTCCAATATTTTCAAAGTCCATTGACATATGGCTTTGAAACTTTGCACACTTGTTCACAATCATGCCACCAATCTGTAGACAGGAGAAGGTAACTCCATAAAGCATTTTGACAGAATAATGCCCCTTTTTCAACTTAGAATTTACGTTACAGTTTTTGTAATACCTCAAATATTTTCAAAGTCCATTGACATATGGCTTTGAAACTTGGCCCACTTGTTCACCATCATGTGTGCAACCTGTAGGCAGGAGAAGGTAACTGTATCAAGCATTTTGACAGAATTATGTCCCTTTTTTGACTTAGAGTTTACGTTAAAGTTTTTGTAACATCTCAAATATTTTCAAAGTCCATTGACATATGGCTTTTAAACTTTGCACACTTGTTCACCATCATGACCCCAACCTGTAGACAGGAGGAGGTAACTCCATGAAGCATTTTTACAGAATAATGCTCCTTTTGCAAGGTAGAATTTGCATTCAAGTTTAAATACCTACTCAGATATTTTCATATTCTATTGACATCTGGCTTTGAAACAAGTTGAAATTTTATACTTTTCTTTGAGAGCATATTAATAGGAATCTCTACAAGGCCTTTAACTGTTATATGGATTTAAAGAAGAATTTTGCCCTTTTGTAACCTTAGAAAATTTCAAGACTCTTTTCCTATCAAGCACCAAGAATAGTCGAGTGTTGCTGTCCTACCGACAGCTCTTTTATGTATTTTGCATCCCTTTTTGAACAACAAGCATTTTCTACCCATGCTGAACAAGTGTTAACTAGTATTTTCTTATTTCTGTTTTGAACTATAAGGAGTGTTAAAAAATGAATGCATCTTGAACATTACATTGTTCAATATTGCAAAAAAAGCATAAGGAAATGAGGGTTATCGAGTAGTATACCTAAATAGACAATGAAAATACCTTTAAAGATTGGATCCGCAGACTGAAACTTTGTATATCTGTTGCAGGTGAATACTGTGAGGAAACGAAATATAAAAATTTAAATTTTACGAGCTTAGATGTATTCATGTTAAAACATTTCTTCTTTACAGTTTAATTTAACCAAATCCAAATTCAATCAGCTTATAACCATTTTGTATATTTATTTGAAAAAGAGGCAGTGCTTGGTTTTTTTTTCACTTCAGAGGAGAGAGAAAAGACGGCACGAGAGTCAACTGTGTGATGAGTACAAAGAATGTAGAGCTTATCTGAACCAGTTTTTACCACCTGATAAACAAATGGTCTATATAGGCTTCGATATGGCACACTATACTAAAAAGTAAGTCTGTGTTTCGAGTGAAAATGATACGAGTTTGTAAATGCTTGATATTCTGTTCGTTGTTTAAACAAATATGAGAAAATTAAAACTTATTTTTGCAGAAAGAAACATTATTCATAATAGATAATGTTAATTGTTTTCAAGGTAATTTAACACTAAAATAAATATGTAGCATATAGCATTATGGTGTCTTAAGATAAATGTCCTGACCTCTATCTGTGAATAGATCAATTCAAATTGAGAATGAATGAACACTGAAAATTAAATTTAAGAGTAAATGAACACTGAAAATCAAATTTGAGAGTAAAAATTAATGAACACTAGGAGTAAATGAACGCAGAAATTCAAATTTAAGATTTTTGTACTTTGATGATTTTTGTACTTTGATAAATATTGAACTCTTAGAATTACAAGCACACAATATTTTGTTTATATATATGAATGTTATCATTTATGACTATTGTTTCATTTCAAGGAGAGAGTTTCTTAAAAAGCTTTTAGCTTTCTACTCAATCCTTTTTGCATTTTATTGTAATATATTGTGTATATATATTTGACAGAAATAGAATATTGTTTAAACCAAATTAAAGAGTAAAAATTAATGAACACTGGGAGTAAATGAACTAAGAAAGTCAAATTTAAGAGTAAAAATTAATGAACACTGGGAGTAAATGAACACAAAAAGTCAAATTTAAGAGTCAACATAAATGAACACTCACTCACTGACAGGGAGTAAATGAACACTGAAAGTCAAATTTAAGAGTAAACATTAATGAAAACTGGAAGTCAATTTGAGAACACTTGGAGACAAATTGAGAGTATATGATCAGCACTGTTTTCCTGATCTGCTGTACATGTACATCTAAGATTGTTAGATTACCACTGGTACTTAACATGGTAGGGAAAACACTAGTACACATTTAGGTTAATTTTATCCCTAAAGAATAACATAGCAATATATGCTAGGTGTTAACTTTTATAAAGTATTACTTTGTAACCCCTTTGACTTGCCAATATGTGAATAATATTTCTCGAAAAACCGAGAAATATTCCCGAATATGTTGAACCTTAATGAAACTCGAAAATAATGTATTTGCTAATGAATTGGATCACAGTATTTGACACTTATTTTGTAATAAGAGATATCTCAAGGGGCTTCCTGGGCAGAGTAGTTAAGGTAATTCATTACAAACCACTTGCCTCCCACTGCTCTAGGTTGGAGCTGTTCTAGCATCTTCAGATTCATTCCAGCTGGCTTACGGAACGTTGGTGGTTCTACTCAGGTGCTCGTTTGTGCCTGAAATAATGTACAGAGAGGCACCTGAGTTCTTCCTCCACCAATAAAGCTTGAGAGTCACCATGTAGCCTATACTGTGTTGGTGCTATCCAAAACAAAAAAAAAGATATCTCAACAAGATTTTTGTACTATGAATATATTTTGATAAATTCTACATTTTTGCTTTCAGAAAGACTAATAATGTACTTGACAGACTAGCTGGTATCTCTAAAAAATGTGTGAAGCAGACGGGCTTCTACTTCCATTCGCCAAATCTGAAGGAGGAATTCTGGGAAAGAGAGGAGTATGAAATAATTGTCTCCCTTTGTTACCACACCAAAATTAAAGATTACAGGCACATTAAAGCAGAACGCCTCCAGAGTCATGTTTATTATCATTAAAATTTTGGAAATGTATTTAGAATTAAAATATTGTGAAGTGAACAATTTAAGCAATTTACACATTGCAATCGGCACTTAAAAACCCACGAAAATTACCAAAAAGTGATCAATATATGCAATAACAGCCCTTACTGCGTGAGTAACGCAGTAGAAATATGGTTAGAAAATACTGCAAAAGCAGTCTTAAACCACATATAACATGTATAATATCACTTGGATTTTGGATGTTTATACCTTTCTTATAATTTTAGTACATTTTTCTCAAAATGGATTTTCTTGAAATATTTTGTGTCATCTGGAGGCGTGCATGCAGCCTTAAGCCTCAGAAAAAATTTTTCTCTTTTTTTTTTAAAGAAAGAGCAAATATGTGTTTCATAATGTTGTAATTATGAAATATAATTATTTTAAATGCTTATCGCCAAAAGTAAAACTTTGTCAAATGTGAAATGATATCTGATAAAGCAAAATGTAAAATACTAAATCACGATAACTGTACTTATGGCCAAAATTATAGGAAGCAAAAGATGTCTCGGCTCTAATGGTCAATGAGTAACATTTTGGAAACTGTAACAGCTAGGTCTTCAAAAATTAGAAGCTTTTCAAAAATGAAAATATTTTGAGGCTAGTTGTGCCTAAAAGATAAAAGCTATTTTGAAAGGATTGATTAATTAATTGTTAATTAATTGTTGCACAAGATTTCATCGAGAAACAGTTTGTGGAATTATGACATTGGGTCAAATACGTCAGTTTGTCTGCACTGCATGAGACTATGCCAACGGATTGAAAATAAATTCTATTTAATCCAACTTCACTTTAAATCGCCCCCACCATATTTTCTGTGTATAATATCAGATATTGACTTTACATGTGTATGAAACTGTGACATATACATCGATGAACAAGGTCAATTGTTTAACTCTCGGAATAGGTCTATTTTTACAAGTATAAAAAAAGATTGTCATTTATTTTGATGTGTATTTTATGTTTTGTATTTCATTTATTTTTTTTCGGCAAAATGAACAATCTTTTGACAAGTTTCGGCATGAAAAAATTTTGTCCAATTGCCGCAATTTCTGCATGTTGCCCAGTACTATTAAATGGCGGAATTATCTAATTGTCATATTCAATGACATTTTGACAAAATGTCATGGAAGCTAAGTTTGTGATCATTGTTTATAAGGCATTTAAAAAATACCCAAAGAACAATTATCGTTCAACATGGCAAGCCTCTCTGTTCTTACTATAGTAAAAAATTATGTTTTTAGATAAAAGCAAAATTTGGTACTTTAATAAAATAGATTGTTGCCTTGTTTTAATAATTATGTCTTAATTGCCAGAGATCTATATATTTTATCAAAATGGTTTCAAATTGTACTTTTATGAAGTAAATTTTAAAGTTAGAAAACTTTAAATAAAATTGTAAAATGAATAAATTATAATTGTAAACTTTAAGATCTATAGATACTTTATGACTTCAAAGACAGCATCATTGTATTGTTAAATTTTCAACAGATGTATGTTATGTAAGTGTTATATGACATATATTGTTCAATAACTACTACATGTACGTGCAGGAAGACATGTATTCATGTTTTTGATAATGTTACATATTATCAGGATTATTACATGTGTGAAACTTTAGTGTGAAAAAAGTACTTGTACTATAAGTGTTAATTATTCACAGATTTGAGGGAGTCCTTGGATACAAAACAAGTACGGGAAGTAAACAAACTGGAGTTGTGAGGACTAATTGTGTTGACTGTTTAGATCGAACCAATACAGCGCAGTTTGCTGTGGGCAAATGTGCTCTTGCATATCAGGTTTGTAAAATGTTAACTAAAATATAGCATAATGTGTAAAATATTAACTCAAACACAGCATAATGTGTAATATTTTAAGTAAAACACAATATAAAATGTGATGTGTTACCTTAAATATAACACAATGTGTCTTATGTAAACTTTAGAACGACATATTGTGTAGTATGTAAACTCTAATACAACACAATGTGATATACATACATGTATATTTAAACTCTTATACAAAATATTGTGTAATATGTGAATTTCAATAAAACACAATGTGCTATACATACATGTATATTTAAACTCTTATACAAAATATTGTGTAATATGTATATTATACAGACATGTATGTAAACTCTAATGCAACACAATGTATAAAATATAAATTCAAATTCATGTTCTACTACAGAACGTATTATATTTATTTCAAGTGTAATACAATGTGTCGTATGTAAACTTAAAAGGAGTCCAAAGTGTAAAATCTTAACTCAAAAACAACACGTGATATTTTAACAATGTATAATTCTTAATTTCAAATTTATAAGTGAACTCAAAACAAAACAAAACAAAATGTAATTTTTTCTAACACGTATACAATATAAAATGTCCTTCTGTTTTTGAAATATATTAACTCATTTGTGACACAAAATGCACCAATGCTTTTAATAATTATTATATGAATTATTTTTACTGTAAAAGTGTACCCAGTTACAGGATAAACAAATACACAAAAACATACAATATTTGATTGATAATATTTTATATATAGATAAGAAAACCTATAAAAAAAACTGTTTGAAAAACTTAAATTGTATAGAGTTTCCAAGTGTATACCTTCATGCACTTATGCTTCAAATGGCATGTCTTTTGTCTTTGTAAAAACAGGAAGACACAACAGCCATACTTCAAATAATGCAGAGTGGCATGTCTTTGGTCTTTGTTAAAACAGGAAGGCACAACAGCCATACTTCAAATAATGCAGAGTGGCATGTCTTTGGTCTTTGTAAAAACAGGAAGGTACAAAAGTCTGCATAATTGTGACCTTTATTGCTTCAATGTTATATTAGAATTCACAATAAATGATCGATGCATGGCAATTTTGTAAAATATTTGTTTTTGCATTGTAATTAAGGCAGCCCATTCCAGATTATCATTCTTTCATATATTTTCAGCTGTGTGCATTAGGTGTTTTATCATCTCCAGATTTAGATTTTGATACAGATTGTCTCAGGTAAGTAGTTGTTTTTAGTTTGTCTACACTCAGAACCAGAATTAACCATATGTCCAGCTGAGTGGTTAAGGTTGTTGTCTTCAAACTAGCTCTGCGGGTTCAAGTCAGGAACTTGGGATTCTTTCGTGAAAGGAAGCTATCCAGTTAGCTCACAGAACATCAGTTTACAGATAATCAGTGGTTCTACTCAGGTGTATGTTTGTACCTGAAATAATACAAGGAGAGGCACCTCAGGTCTTCTTCCACCACTTGAGCTTGAAAATCGCCATATGACCATTACAGTGTTGGTGCGATCTAAGCACAAAAAAAAAAAAAAAAAGTTTTCCAAAGATACACGCAGGTTATACATGTAGGTATTTGAAATATATTTAGTCTTGTGGTGTAAAAGTGCTTAATCTTCTATCAGTTCTGATTTAATTTGATGATTTTATATATTCCCTTTGTGTTGATCAAGTTTTGTTAGTTGTATGGTGTATGCTTGAATGATTTGATCTGTGTCACTAGGATGCTTGAAGAGTTATATGAAGATCAGGGTGATACAGTTGCTTTACAATATGGTGGATCGCACCTGGTGCATAGGATAGAAGGGTACAGGAAAATAGCGCCATGGAAAGCTCATTCTTTAGATATACTTCAAACATTGTCAAGATATTACAGTAATGCATTCTCTGGTAAGATTAACCTACCAATTACAGTCAAACCTAATCCGGTTGGATCCCCGGGACATGCTTGGGTAGTTTAGCGCGGAGGAAGGTAGTCTAGTACTGGTGTAACTCTCCAGGAACGATGGTTAGGAAACTACCCGCCTATATGACTGAAATACTGTTGGCAAAAGGTGTATGATGAAATAAACAAACAGTCAAACCTTTGTTAAAGGCTATATCTGAATAAAGGTAATCTTGAAAATGAGGGCCACTTTCTCATAACACCTCATCGATGAATTGGAAAAAATTAACCTCCATTGATGAAATGGTATAAATTCACCTCCAAGTAAAGACCACTTGTCTCTTCAGTCATGATTTGTTGCTCCATTTGGTGGCCTTTGTTCACAGGTTTTGCTGAATATTCAAATCTAAATTAGTATTTGTTTTTGTTTTTAGCTCACCTGTCACAAAGTGACAGGGTGAGCTTTTGTGATCGCTTTTCGTCCGGCGTCCGTCCGGCGTCCGTCCGTAAACTTTTGCTTTAAATGACATCTCCTCATAAACCACTGAGCCAATTCCATCCAAACTTCACAGGAATGTTCCTTTGGTGGTCACCTTTGAAAATTGTTCAAAGAATTAAATTCTATGCAGAACTCTGGTTGCCATGGCAACCGAAAGAAAAATCTTTAAATATCTTCTTTTAAACAACCCTAAGAGCTTGAGCTTAGATATTTGGCATGAAACATCTTCTAATGAGTGTCTACCAAGTTTGTTCAAATAAAAGCCCTGGGGTCAAAATTGGCCCCGCCCCAGGGGGTCATTGATTTTCCCTATATGCATATAGTAAAAACTTAAAAAATCTTCTTTTAAAGAACCGTAAGAGCTGGAGCTAAGATATTTGGCATGAAACATCTTCTAGTGAGTGTCTACCAAGTTTGTTCAAATAAAAGCCCTGGGGTCAAAATTGGCCCCGCCCCGGGGGGTCATTGATTTTCCCTATATGCATTTAGTAAAAACTTAAAAAATCTTTGTTTAAAGAACCATAAGAGCTAGAGCTAAGATATTTGGCATGAAACATCTTCTAGTGAATGTCTAGCAAGTTTGTTCAAATAAAAGCCCTTGGGTCAAAATTGGCCCCGCCCCGGGGGGTCATTTATTTTCCCTATACGCATATAGTAAAAACTTAAAAAATCTTCTTTTAAAGAACCCAAAGAGCTAGAGCTAAGATATTTGGCATGAAACATCTTCTATTGAGTGTCTACCAAGTTTGTTCAAATTAAAGCCCTGGGGTCAAAATTGGCCCCGCCCCGGGGGGGGGGGGTTATTGATTTTCCCTATATGCATATAGTAAAAACTTAAAAATCTTCTTTTAAAGAACCGTAAGAGCTAGAGCTAAGATATTTGGCATGAAACATCTTCTAGTGAATGTCTACCAAGTTTGTTCAAATAAAAGCCCTGGGGTCAAAATTGGCCCCACCCCGGGGGGTCATTGATTTTCCCTATATGCATAAAGAAAAAACTTAAAAAATCTTCTTTTAAAGAACCCAAAGAGCTAGAGCTAAGATATTTGGCATGAAACATCTTCTAGTGAATGTCTACCAAGTTTGTTCAAATAAAAGTCCTGGGGTCAAAATTGGCCCCGCCCCAGGGGTCATTGATTTTCCCTATATGCATATAGTAAAAACTTAAAAAATCTTCTTTTAAAGAACCCAAAGAGCTAGAGCTAAGATATTTAGCATGAGACATGTTCAAATGGGTGTCTACCAAGTATGTTCAAATAAAAGTCCTGGGGTCAAAACTGGCCCTGCCCCGGGGCTCATTGATTTTCCTTATATGTTTATAGCAAAAACTTAAAAATCTTCTTTGAAAAAACCCAAATAGCTAGAGTTTAGATATTAAGCATGAAACATCTTTAAGTAAATATCTACAAAGTTTGTTCAAATAAAAGCCCGGGGGTCAAAACTGGCCCTGCCCTAGGGGTGTCATTGTTTTTAACTATATGTGTTAGTGTATAGTAAAAACTTAAAAAATCTTCTTTTAAAAAACCCAATGAGCTAGAACTTAGATGTTTTGCATGAAACATCTTCTTATGGGTGTCTACCAAGTCTGTTCAAATAAACAAATAAAAACCCTTGGGTAAAACTTGGCCCCGGGGGGCTATATACAGGTGAGCGACCTCAGGGCCATCATGGCCCTCTTGTTTTTTATTGGTTGAGTATTCTGTTGTCAGTGTCTTATTTGGACAGCCCTGATATATTTAAAGATAAAAGTTCAAAGTTGAAACTTATTGGTATGCCTGTGTGAACGAAAAGGTGACTAAAAGAATACTGAGGGATACCAAGAGTTATATTAAAAAATATAGATAAAAACCCAAAACCCTATGTGATATAATTTATAGAAGAAGTATTGCTCTATTATATTTGGTTTATACAGAATTTGTTTTAGTCTGATTCGGTAGCTATAAGCTTACAGACATACTATATTCGAATCCGTTCCTGGAACCAACCAGTACTGAGCAATGAGTGAAAAGTTTTTTTGCTTAAGGAAACAAGGATTTGCCCCTGAGAGGATTTGAACCGATGCGGCTAGCGATGATTAGATTTTTAGTCTGACGCGTTAACCACTCGGCCATGCCACCACTATGATATTTGTGTAATCTAATGAATTGTGTAATGATGTTTTTCTAGACTTGGAGAAACAGCAGGCAACCAATGTATTCCTTGGCTTGTTTTCACCTAAAGAGAATGCACCAAACATATGGGATCTACCAACAGATTTTTACCTCCACAATAAAGATGCTATGGGCAAAAAATACAAGACGAGAAGGTAATTATACTTGACCATGTGAGTCAGTCTAGCCTACACTATCATGTTATCAAACCAGACTTTGTTCTGTTGATTGGTCAGTTTTTTGCTCGACTGTTTGAAGAATAGGGAGAATTATTGAACTCACTGTGATGCGGATGTCAGCATTGCCATCACTATCACACTTCGGTTAAGTTTTGGCAATGCTAATTGGTATTTCCAAATCTACTGAAGGAAATGGGTAGAAACTTCATGCACAAGTTCTGATTATCAAACATGATGGGCACAGGTTAAATAACTGTGACATTTATTTTAGAAAGGCAACAGTTAATTTTTATTACTTACAATTTGTATATGACTATAATTAGATAACCTCTCAAATCTTATTTATCTTATTTAGTTATATAGTATTGATGAAACAAAAAATCTGAAAACCAAAATATAATAGCTGAACATGTGCATTATATTCTACAACAAACAGAATAATCCTTCTGTTCAAGAATGTAATTTGTCACACGCTTTATTAGAGTAATCCCTTATCAAGTGGTGTTACCGTCGTAAATCAAAGAGATTATACGTATTACACTGACACATTTAACATACTTCGAAATTTATGTCAGGCTATAGTTTAATTTACTTGTTTTAGAAACCTTATTGGCAATTTCACTGGCCATTGTATATCATATTCTACCCACTGGTTAGTAAACTCTCACTAAATCCAAATGAAAAATTGTAACTCTTGTTCGAAATATTATGTTAAATATGTATTTTCTTCTGTATTTTTTCCAGTTACACAATGTGGTGTGATCCAAATGTATTTGATCACCTTCCATTACCATATGCCGAAGGTATTGAAATGAAATATACTAACTTGAACTTCTAAAGTATTATTTTCACAAATTTTCAAATGTTCAATGACCTTAGGATATTGCAAAAATGCCAGTTATGTATTATCTATGATAAAGGCTTGATAAATGACATTTTAAAAAAAATTGTACCTAAATACCATATTAAAGTAAATATATACGGAATAGATGGATGAATTTACAAGTGGCATCATGGCCATGGTTAATGTTTCAGACTAGTTATCCTCAGATTGGTTGCTGTGTGGGTTCAAGTCCCATCAGGGGCAATCTGTTGTTTCTTTGAGGAAAAACTTTACTTTCATTGCCTAGTACTGGCTGGGTCTAAGAATTGATCATCTTCTGATACTAATGGCCGAACCATTAACATTATTGATTACTTGTGATGGTACAAATTGTATCAAATATTGGTATCCGACAATTGGAATGGATTAATGATAAAGTGATTTTGTTTAATCTACTGTGAGTATATATATTTCAGCCTGTAAAGCAGTCAACAGCGTGATGAAAAAGTTTAGGAAAGGGGATGAGCGTATAGATTTATTCCTGGAGCATTATAAACCTTATGAGAGGACGGAGTTTCAGAAAGTTTTTGAATCAATGTGTAAAGCTATAAGGTGAGAGTTATATCTAATGGAAACTTCTGGGAACAATTACAATCTTCTTTATAGTTATACAAGCATATCATAATTCCTTCAGCAAAAATGGTGGTGGGGCAGTGTGTGGAAACAGAGGTAATGATTCTCAATTCAATCTGATGAAAGGAATTCTGATCCCCCATGCAAAAGTTTTCTTGTTTGGAAATTGATAAATCACCTTCTTTTGTTGTCTTTTTGGTCTCTTGCTAAGTATAAAAATACATTTATTCATACTGGTAACCACAATTTATAAGTTTACAGAAATATATGAGGGTTGTTCTGGAAGTTCTGAGAATTGTTTTATAGCACACGTTGTAGTCGGGTTAGCGTAAATATAAATATATACGCATTTATTTCAATATATACTGTACAGTATCTGAAAATATCATCATCATAGACACAGAAACTAAAACATAATAAAAATAGTAAATAACCATATAACAAACACCCGGAGCACGCCAACGTCATTTGCAACGTTATGCGACGTTAAAGTCCATTGATCGTCGCACCTTTTCAACGTAGTCACCTGCAATTTTGATGCATTTCCTGTGTCGGCTGATCCACTTATTGTATGTTTCCACGTACCAGCTATCGGTAAAGGACGAGACTATAGCTTGCGTATACTTAACAAGATCGTCAGCTGAGTCAAAGCGTTTCTGTCGCAATTTATCATGTCTTTTACCGAGTCCTTAATAGAACATGCAACAACAGACTGCCGACCGCATCTAGAATCGTCTTCGATGGAGTTTCTTCCTTTTTTAACGGACTGCATTTCTTGTATTATCCTGTAGAATTGATCATTTTCATTGTTTCTGTGGAAGACTTTTCCAGCGCAACACAAAATTTCACGATGCTTTGCAATTCAACGTCACCTATTGACGTCATGTTGTTTACTCAGTGGCTCTGGGCAATAACTTTAAAACAGTGTTGATCCGTTGAGAATTTAAATAACGTTATGATATTTTCAGGAAATGACGTCATGACGTTCCGCTGCTGACCAGCGTTTTCGCGCATTTTTTACGTTATCAAAATTACGAAATATTATTAGTGTAGCGCATTACACCTTTCTTTAGAGTCGGACTGCTCCGGTGCGGCGTTATAGTGTTGCTATGGTTACTGCTATTTCCGGCTATTGTTGTCTGATTCTATTCAATTTTTAGGAATAGTTCCGTGATATGCTAATCTTAGTATGTGCAAAATATTACGTCTTAGAAACAAAAAATATAGGAGATATGACAAAATTCCAAGAACTTCCCGAACAACCCTTGTACAAGCAACGTTCTTAAATTTAAAAGAAATGTGAAGAATTTTGAGAGAAACCATCTGTTGGGGACTTGGATCCTCTTGAAATTCACCATGTGATCTTCATAGTGTAACACTTAACAGTTTATCCATCTCCTTAAAATTAAGTTAAGGTTGCTTAAACTCCAAATAGCTTACTTCAGCTATCTCACAGACAGTTGGTGGTTCTACTCGATTACCCACTGGTGACAGAAATAATGCACAAGTTGCTTTTAATAGACTTGCTTTAACAGAACAGAACAGATACTATATTTTTGACTTGTACATAATACATTGTCATACAAATATAAACAATTTTACAATACATACAAACGTAAATCTTGTTTGTACTTACAAAATATAGTATTTTTTGGTTAAAATTAAATTTCTTTCAGATTTTGAATAAGTTTTCCATGATATGGTAGTAAAATTAAAGATATGGAAAGGTCTCATTACATGTATATTACAAATATGTATACTGGTATATCCACTATTTTTTATATTTGATTATTTTACAGCAATTTTAGACCTAAGATTGGAAGAAATTTAACCCCTGGTAGTCCATTTGAGAGAAAAGTCACCCCAGAGGCAAAGGAAAGCAGGTATATAAATTGCAATATTTATATATATCATACTAACTTAAGTTCTTATGCATGCACAATATATGTTATTTTGGTTTTGGAGTGATATATGTGGACATATTACCTGCTAAGATTTTATATCACCCGAGTCGTTAGGCGAGGATGATATTTTATCTTGGCAGGTAATATATCCACATATATCACTCCAAAACCAAAATTATAATTTTATTACCCTTCCCCTGCCGAGTTTAGACGATTTTTTAAAGAATCAGTGTTTTTTCAAATGAAACGTCGAAATAAGATTCCCTTTAGGGTACCCCTTCATCACAACATGACGTCACATAAATACATGACGTATTATTCCCGTACCTAACGAATGTAAACAAGAGAAAAGGAGTAGTCTATTGAACGCACTTTTTTGTAATTAATATCAAGCTTTCACAAGGTCATATTTGTTTTCAATACTGATGAGGATATGTATCATTACTTTACTTTGGTGAACATTTATCATTTGACAGTTAAAAAGTGCTTGTAAATCGGAATTTACACCGAGTAAAATCAAACCGTACTCGCATCACCTCAGCGCATTTTGTTTACAACGGGGGTACCAAACAGGGAAATTTAGTGTGTATATTACCCGTCTGGCTCGGTAATATCAATTTCTTTAGGGTGATCAATAACCAATCAGAAAGGCCGAAAAAATCTGGAAGGGTATTACAGTTAAACTTCGTTCGCTCGAACTCGGATCGCTCGAATACCTCCTTTCGCTCGAACTCATCGTCCAGTCCCGGCAAAATTCCTATATAATATATATTGTTCTACCTCGGATCGCTCGAACACCCATCGCTCGAACTCTCGAACATAATCACTGGTCCCTTCGGCAGAAATATAGTGTAAATCACACCTTTTCGGTCCAACACAAACAGACAACAAAAGTTGCAGGTCGACATGCTCTAAATAATTGACAGTCGGTGACACATGTTTTTAACACCTCGTGATCGTGACAAAGGCAATTAAGGTTAATTGATACAAAATAAAAGGTGTTGTAACCGATTTGTTTGTTATGATAAAATTGTATATTTGCCGTCCTTAGTAACGATAAAAAGAAAACAACTCCTGAAATGCGCAAAAGACAATAAATAAATGACGTTTACCCGGACGACTTTAATTACAACCGTGGTTCATGTATCGTGAATTGTAACAGTGTAATCTATTTATAGAATGATACTTGTACGTGTTTATTTTAGTAAATGACTACAAATATATGCTGCTGTAAATTTTTTTTTATATTTAATTAATTCATTGTTTAAAATAAAATTAATTCCATAATAGACATATAAATATATTTGAACATTGTTCACAGTTTGGATAATGATCGCCCAATCGAATTCAACCAATTACAATATGCATGAATATAGATTAACACAGTGAACCGTTAATGGATAATAATTCTTAATATGACAGATGTTCTAACAACAATTATATTGACGTATTTATCATTTGACCTATATGTAAGCTGGAAAACCTTTAGACATATGTTCTATGTAATAATAGTTCAACCTCGGTTGGCTCGAACTACCGATCTCTCGAACAAATTTTCACAGACCCTCCGAGTTCGAGCGAACGAAGTTCGACTGTAATAAGTTTTGTAATCTCTTAGCCTTTTGTTGCCTTTTCTCATGTTGTTTTATTGTCTTTATGGCATTTAATAATCTTTCTGGCACAAAAGCATGATCTTGCAACATAGTGTTGTGGTTTTAACCTCATTTTTAATCAGAATTTTATAGATCGAAGACCAGTCTAAAATAGTTATTTGCTCAATATTGAATCTTTTTAATTAAAATTGTGCTTTAAATTTTAACTGTTTTCTTCAACTTATTTATTAATTAACATTTAATTAAGTCTAATTTATAAAGGTTGTATAACATTATATTAAAGATTTAATTGTTTTGGTATAAGGTGAGTATTAATAATCAAAATCCTCGAAGGACCATCCAATGTTTATGAGTATTAATTTGTATTGTGTCTCAAGTCATGTAAAACTTTGTTTTGGTTGTTTTTACTTGGGTTTTTTTGTTTGTTTCAAAGAACAACATTTCTGTTATAAATCTGCATTTCCTAAAACAACTTGCTTCTTTTTAATGTATATACAATTGTTATAGTAATAGGTGATGAAGAAAATGATATATTACAGTTCATTTGTATTTAACGCAAAGGACATCACGTCAGTGTTATAACACTAGTGAAATATTGTTTTTATTACATGTCTTTATCACACATCCGTGCCGATTTTGCGACACGGTAAATATGGTATTGCACGGCCGTGCATATATTTTGACATGACATCATTAGAGTTATACAAACATAGTGTAAAGACGCGCTAAATGTTAGCATTATACTAAAGACGTGTCAATGAAAAATGACTATTAAATTCGTGTAAGTTCATTACTGAATTTATTGCACTTGTTGAATAAAATAATATTATGCTCGCCAGAGGCTCGCATAATATAATTTTATTTAACTTGTGCAATAAATTCAGTATTGAACTTACACTCATTCAATATCCTCTATTTATTACACTCTTGCCGGTGGTCTATGTGATAAAATGATATATAGCATTTTTGACAAATTTGTATAAAGTAGCTGTTGCATGTAATTCTAAAGAACAAGACTGAAACACTTGAAAAAACACCACATAATCAAACAGTCTATGAACATTGATCAATGAAGGGTCCTGATTAATCACATGGGGAGTTAAAATTCTGAGAGATAATTATAATAAGAGACAATAGGTAAAAGAAGAAAAAGGTTGTTTATCAGGGTACTGTAAGATACAATGTATTACAAATTTATTAAAAGACTTCCCAGTGTTCTGATCAACAATTATATAAGAAAGTGTTGTTGAGCGGATGATATTGATCAAAACAAATTACATTCACGTCCTAAAATGTGGTGCTAATTTTTATTATGAATCATTAGAAACCAGTCCTTAATTGTTAAATGGTACTAGAGTACTTTAGCCGACCAATCAAAAACAATCTTAAGTGTATGTAAAAAATTAGCACACTTTCTGTCAAAAGTACAAGGATGCAATAAAAGATGTTTTGTTGTGCTTTCTGGTAAACATTTACACACTGAACAAAGAGATTAAATTCAAAAAAAAAAAAATTAGAAAAAACAACTTCTTCACTTTCCATCTTCTGATAATAGGGCGTTTGTTTTAAAATGGAAATTGGACAATTTGGAAAATAAAATTTACCAGATGAAGAATTTTATAGTCATATGATTAAACAATAACGTATGAAGATCACGGTAAAATTTCCAAGTCTCTGGACATGGCTAATGTGATATTCACCGAATAGATGTGATATTCACCGAATAGATGTTATCCTGAACTTGGCAAATATGTGTTTTTTCCCCAGTTAATCTTTAGGTACAAACAAACTTGTACTGTTATAACTTCATTGTGCACTAGTCTACCTGTCACATTATAGATAAGTCAACCTGTTAAAGCTGTAACTGTAAAAAATTTATTGTACCTACGGATTAGCAGGGGGAAAAAACGATTATTCTTAATTCCTGAGTTAATTGTCTATTCATAGTTGTCCGATTTCATTTTTCAAATACAAACAACCAATATTTTTATATGAGTGTTTTCTTCTTTTGAATTGTGCTATGTGATCCCTATCACATACCTGCCAATAAAAATGGGGGGATAAAGAAAATTGATATATTGTATTAAATTGCTATATAACAGGCTCGTGGCTTTTTCAAGAAGAGGCAGTGGATTTTTACTAAGCTACTCTGGAAGGTTATATAATTATCCTAAGTAATGTAGATAGTTTATACCCATCCTCCATATTTAAATCCCTACCAGTCTTTTTTTGAAATATCAATTTTTTTTTAATGCTGTTTAGCATTATGGAACCCAGAAATTGAAATTAATTGAGTTTTTTTAGCTCACCTGACCACGAAGTGGTCAAGGTGAGGTATAGTGATGGTGCTATGTCTGGTGTCCGTCGTCGTGCGTAGTGCGTCGTTCGTCGTCAACAACTGGGTTGTTAACAGTCTAGCAGTCACAGTTTTGATTGGATCATTGTCAAACTTTGTCAGAATGTTTGTCTCAATTAAATACAGATCGAGTTCGAAGATGGGTTTTCTTGCATATCAGACTGGCGTTTCCGTTAGTTTAACCCATGCTGGAAATTTCATCTGGCATGGGGGGTTCCAGATGAGTCGTGTGCTGTACAATGGCACGATGAAGATGACGTCATTTTACCGTTATGAATGATTTTGTAATTCATACGCTGTTGAATGAAAGTAGTTACGGTTGTAATGATATACATTTTCATTGAAAGTAAAGATAAAGAATTTAAAATATAATGGAATATGGTAGAATATGTAAGAAAAAATATCTGACATATGTTTGCGGTTCGGATTGGAATATCCATCCCTCGGTCACCCGCCCATGGGCGGTAGCTCGGCAAGCCTCGTTACCACCCAATGGGCGGGTCACCTGGGGACGGAAATTCCGATCCGAACCGCAAAATATGACAGATATTATTAATCTCGAGTCAAAAACTAGGTCACAGGAGCTAAAAATAGAAAAAGCTTGTTAACACTCTAGTGACTGCAGTTTTGATCCAAATATTCTGGAAATTTGTCAGGAAGGTTGTTTTGATGATTTCTAGGTCAAGTTCGGAGATGGGTCATCTCCCTCCAAAAACTAGGTCACAGGAGCTCAAAATAGAAAAAGCTTGTTAACACTCTAGTGGCTGCAGTTTTGATCCAAATATTCTGATATTTGTCAGGAAGGTTGTTTTAAAGATTTCTAGGTCAAGTTTGAAGATGGGTTATTTCCGGTCAAAAACTAGGTCACAGGAGCTTAAAATAGAAAAAGCTTGTTAACACTAGTGGCTGCAGTTTTGATCCAGATATTCTTGAAATTTGTCAGGAAGGTTGTTGTGATGATTTCTAGGTCAAGTTCAAAGATGGGTCATCTCCGGTCAAAAACTAGGTCACAGGAGCTAAAAGTAGAAAAAGCTTGTTAACACTCCAGTTTTTATCAAGATATTCTGGAAATTTGTCAGGAAGGTTGTTTTGATGATTTCTAGGTCATGTTCAAAGATGGGTCATCTCCGGTCAAAAACTAGGTCACAGAAGCTTAAATAGAAAATCTTTTTAACACTCGAGTGGCTGCAGTTTTGATCCAAATATCCTGGAAATTTGTCAGGAAGGTTGTTTTGATGATTTATAGGTCGAGTTTGAAGATGGGTTATTTCCGGTCAAAAACTAGGTCACAGGAGCTTAAAATAGAAATGATGATTTCTAGGTCGAGTTTGAATATAGGTCGTCTCCAGTCAAAAAATATTGCCTAAATTTGGAACATAATATTTTTAACACAATAGAGGTCACATTTTTGACTCAATTGTCATCAAACTTGGCCAGAATGCTTGTCTAAGACATTGCTTGGATGCGGTTGATGGGTCAGGGGAGCGATCCAGGGCCATCATGGCCCTCTTGTTTTAATATTTCCAATGTGATAGGTATTGCAAGAAATACTAATAATAATGATTTCTATATTGCAATATTTTCTAAGCATTTATGTGTATTATAATTATTATACCCCCACAAATGAAGTTAAAGGGGGGGGGGTATAAAGGTGTTAGCGTGTCAGTCGGTCTCCTTCATGGTTTCAGGATGATAATATAGTTTTAATGAGGTATTGAAATCAAACTTGGTATATAGCAACCTTATGTGGAAACCTTTGTTGGTATTGCTTTTGGACCCTTTTGGGTCAAGGTCACTGTTACTTGAAATAGAAAAATGGTTTTTCGGACAATAATTAGGGTTAGGAATGACATATTGTAATCAAACTTGTTGTATAGCAAGGTTATATGAAGACCCCAGCTGGTATTGCATTTGGACTCCCTGGGTCAAGGTCACCATTTCTAAAGATAGAAAAAATTGTTTTTGGACAATAACTAGAGTTAGACATGAGATATCTTAATCAAACTTAATAGCAAGCTTTTATGAAGACCCTGGTAAGGATTGCATTTAATTGGATCCACTGAGGTCAAGGTCACCGTTTCTAAAAATAGAAAAATGGTTTCCGGACAATAACTAGAGTTAGGAATGAGATATTGTAATCAAACTTTGTGTATAGCAAGCTTATATGAAGACCCTGGTCGGTATTGCATTTGGACCCCCTGAGGTCAAGGTCACCTCAAAAAATAGAAAACTGGTTTCCGGAAAATAACTAGAGTTAGAAATGAGATATTGTAATCAAATTTGGTTTATAGCAAGTTTTTATGAAGATCCTGGTTGGGATTGCAATTAATTGAAATAATTCTTTGTATACGGTTAATACTTTATTTACTATAGGTTGAGTTCAAATTTTTCCTCAGACCACTTATTTTTCAAAATGTCAAAGTTGCTGTTGGAAGAAATTAATCGCCTTCAGTGATAGGTCTAGTTTATGTAGTTTAAAGAACTATGTATTGCAATATCAATGTATTGCAATATCAAGTGAGCATAACTGTCTATTGCAATAATCAAAGGAACATAAATTAAATTATGTATTGTCACCTTGATGTAGTAAAGGGTTAACTCCTAACATAATTTAATAAGAGTAAACCTGTAACTGCGCTAAGATGACAATATTATTATAATAGGCTGATCATTATTTGCAATGTATTGCAATATTGATTGGTCATAGCTCAATATACAGTAAATTGCAATAATTGAATAGCATTTATGTGCAGCTGGTTTTATAATATTTACTGAGTGACAAGTACAGCATATTGCAATATTTATTGCACAGTACATTGTTACAATATTTTTTGCACATATTGCAGTGTATTACAATATTTGTTGCACATTCAGTGTATTACAATATTTGTTGCACATTCAGTGTATTACAATATTTGTTGCACATTCAGTGTATTACAATATTTGTTGCACATTCAGTGTATTACAATATTTGTTGCACATTCAGTGTATTACAATATTTATTGCACATTCAGTGTATTACAATATTTGTTGCACATTCAGTGTATTACAATATTTATTGCACATTCAGTGTATTACAATATTTGTTGCACATTCAGTGTATTACAATATTTGTTGCACATTCAGTGTATTACAATATTTATTGCACATTCAGTGTATTACAATATTTGTTGCACATTCAGTGTATTACAATATTTATTGCACATTCAGTGTATTACAATATTTATTGCACATTCAGTGTATTACAATATTTGTTGCACATTCAGTGTATTACAATATTTATTGCACATTCAGTGTATTACAATATTTGTTGCACACTACAATGTATTACAATATTTGTTGCACATTACAATGTATTACAATATTTATTGCATACTACAGTGTATAGCCATATTTATTGATCATTTCAGTATTTCTACAGTTTTGTCTTAGATTAACAGTATGGTTTAGAATTTAAATGGGCGACCTTACATTATTTTGAAATATTACTGAGCCTATAACACTATCCTTGTTGAAACAAAGTGGTAAGCCTTCTCGTGAACCAGCCAGGCTCAGGCCTGTAACAACAGGCTCGATACTGTTGGTAGCTGAATTTTTGTAAATTTTAAATGGATTGTTCCAAATTCAAAGAAGGATAAATTCATGACGCAAATTCAGCAGACTTAGTCACAATTATACATGTATAATGCCTCAAAAACAAAGAAATTTTTACTTCTCTAGAATGCCATCAAAGGGCAAACGTGTATCTTAAATTGTGGTTTAAGAGAATAAAATGCTTGTTACCTGAAGAAAATAAAAAAACAAAATTTTTTTAGTGAAATAATTTGTCATTAAAGTAGCAAAGTTTAAACAAAGTATTTTGACTTCATACAAAATATAAATTCACTATAACTATACTTATTGCCAAAAAGCAACAGATAAAAAAGATTGTTAAGGAAATTGGCCAATGGGTATCTTTTTGGATACTATAAAAGTACAACAAAATTGAAAAGCTTCTGAGAAAAAGTGTTCCTGAAGCATAATGCGCCTTTAAGAATTGAATAATTCTTTGAGCTTATAAGGGTTGTAATAGACCTCTTACAAAAGGACATGTAATTATTTACACATATTCTTGTAAGCTATTATCAGTTGTAAAAATCCCCTTAATAGCTTGTTTTAACGAACTATTAAGAGCTGTCATCGCCTAATTATTTGTCCATTTAATTAAGCTAATACTTGTGGTAATTGAACCGTCCGTCCGTCCGTCTGTCCGTCCGTCTGTCTGTCCCGAAATCTTGTGAACGCAACTCCTCTTAAACCGGATGGCAGATTTTGCTTAAACTTTCAGGGATGAACAACCTTAATGTGTAGATGGTAGTAAAGGAAGGAATTATCGCTGCGACCAAATTTAACAAAATTATGGCCCTTTGTTGATTGCTTCATTATATACTATGTAGAAATTTTTTGAATGCAACTCCTCTTAAACCGGATGGCAGATTTTGCTTAAACTTTCAGGGATGAACAACCTTAATGTGTAGATGGTAGTAAAGGAAGGAATTTTCGCTGTGACCAAATTTAACAAAATTATGGCCCTTTGTTGATTGCTTCATTATATACTATGTAGAAATTTTGTGAACGCAACTGCTCTTAAACCGGATGGCAGATTTTGCTTAAACTTCCAGGGATGAACAACCTTAATGTGTAGATGGTAATAAAGGAAGGAATTTTTGCTGCGACCAAATTTAACAGAATTATGGCCCTTTGTTGATTTTTTCACTATATACCATATAAATGTTGTCAGTGGGGGCATCCGTGTCCTTTGGACACAGTTCTAGTTACAGGTGTATTAACTTTATTCTATAGACAGATGTTATTTATAATTGATAGAAACATAAACTTTGATGGAGTTAGTGGTCAGTTGGGTCAAGGTCACCAGTGCTAAAAGTAGATTTTTACATATTTGCTCATACAGCCTTTATTAAGTGACAGATATATTTTATATTTGGTCAGAAGATAACTTGCATGGTATTCATCCTTTTGATTGTGGTAGGGATCAGTGGGTCAAGGTCACTTGTGCTAAAAATAGATTTTTACACTTTTGCCCATAAAGCTTTTGTTTATTGACAGATGTATTTCATATTTGGTAGGAAGATAACTTGCATGGTATTCTACCTTTGGATGGAGTAACGGGTCAGTTGGGTCAAGGTCACCATTGTTAAAAATAGATTTTTACACTTTTGCCCATACAGCCTTTATTTATTGACAGATGTATTTCATATTTGGTAGGAGGATAACTTACATGGTATTCTTCTTTTGGATAGAGTTAGAGGTCAGTTTGGTCAAGGTCACCAGTGCTCAAAATAGATTTTTACACTTTTGCCCATACAGCCTTTATTTAATGACAGATGTATTTCATATTTGGTAGGAAGATAACTTGCATGAAGTTGAATATTTTTCAACTTCACAAGTCAGAGCAATGACTTTGCAACTTATATTTTTCACAATTTAATACAAAATGCCATGACTTTGTCAAGCTATATAACTTGTGTTTACAATTTTTTGGCAATTATTCTGTCCATAACTGAGTGAATGGGTAAACATTTTTTTAAATATTGCTACTGACAAGAATCTGAGCCGGGGACATTTGTGTTTTACAAACACGTTCTTGTTTCTATTTATCATTTAATAATTTGTGGGATTTCTTTCAGATATGAGGCAAATCCGAACATCAGTGGGAAAGATTCAACATCGTCAGTGACGTCTAACATGTCGGAAGAGGGTAGTTCAAGCAGCGCGAGCAGCGTGGAGGGAGATATTATAACTACGTCCTCAGAGGACGAGACCAGCTACAATCATATCAGTATGTCGGACTCAACATGCTCAGATGAGAAGAATATATATGGGTTCGATCCTGCAAGATTTGAGGAGGATGTGGGTACACAAGATATGTATCAAAGGTATGATTTTTTTTATGCGCCCTATAGGAGTGAGTACTAAGTGTGTGGGGGAGGAAGGGAGGGGCATATAGATTTGCCTTTGTCTGTCAGTGAGTCAAGCTCTCCTGCAGTCAAGCTGTCTGTCTGTAGTCTAATAAAACTGTGAAATGTGGTGGAATGTATGACCTATATAAGGACACATTTCTAGTTACATGTGTACTTGTAATTTCCTTAAGTGTCACAACTTGATTTCCATTTAAGATACAGGTTCTGACTACAATGTAGTACAAGAAGCAAATTTAAAAGTGACCAAGTATTGCTTTTGTCAGTAATGAAGCTGAAATAATGTATGGATTTGTTTGTTGGGTTTTTATGTTGCACCATCTCTGCAGCAGACATATGGTGACTTTCCAGCATTACTTGCGATGGATGACATCAAATGCCCCTCAATGCATTTTTTCAGAAATGAACTCAGGCACCTGAGTAGAACCACCAACTTTCCTTAAGCTAGTTGAATGTCTTCCTCACAAGAAGGTATTGCCAGGATTCAAACCAACAGCAGTGAGGGGCAAATGGTTTAAATTCAATGATCTTAACCACTTGTCCACAGACAATCTGCTTTATGGATTAAACTGCTACAGATAAGGATTGATGTGGATTGTTTCTGATTAAGTATTTCAACCGCCATCAACAGTATGTCTATTGTCATCATTTGTCATTATATTTCTGATTTGCAAGCAACACGTTTCAGAAAAAAATGTAATATTTCATTTTAAATACACTTTGTAATTGCATAAGTTTCAGAAAATTTTAAATACATGTAATTGCACAAGTTTCAAAAATTTGGAGTTATTCATTTTAAATCATTTTGTAATTGCATATTTTAGTTTCTGAAAATTTGGATTATTTCATTTAAAAAACTTACACAAGTTTCTGAAAATTTAGATTATTTCATTTCATGTATATTAATTGCAAAAATTGAAATAGCCAAAGAGGACAATTATAGTTCTTAACTGATGGACATTGCATGCCCATACTCATAGAGTTGAATACTCATAGAGTTCAAGAGTTCAATACTCATAGAGTTCAATGTTTATAGAGTTCAATACTCATAGTGTCCAATACTTATAGAGTCCAATACTCATAGTTCAAGAGTCCAATACTCATAAAGTTCAATATTTATAGAGTTCAGTATATATAGAGTTCAATAATCATAGTGTCCAATACTTATAAAGTTCAATACTCATAGAGTTCAATGTTTATAGAGTTCAATACTCATAGTGTCCAATACTTATAGAGTCCAATACTCATAGTTCAAGAGTCCAATACTCATAAAGTTCAATATTTATAGAGTTCAGTATATATAGAGTTCAATAATCATAGTGTCCAATACTTATAAAGTTCAATACTTATTGAGTCCAATACTCATAGAGTTCAATATTTATAGAGTTCAATACTCATAGTGTCCAATACTTATAGAGTCAAATACTCATAGAGTTCAAGAGTCCAATACTCATAAAGTTCAATATTTATAGAGTTCAGTATATATAGAGTTCAATAATCATAGTGTCCAATACTTATAAAGTTCAATACTTATTGAGTCCAATACTCATAGAGTTCAATATTTATAGAGTTCAATAACCATAGTGTCCAATACTTATAAAGTTCAATACTTATTGAGTCCAATACTCATAAAGTTAAATATTTATAGAGTTCAATACTCATAGAGTTCAATGTTTATAGAGTTCAAGAGTTCAAAACTCTTAGAGTTCAATATATATAGAGTTCAATACTCATCGAGTTCAATAATCATAGTGTCCAATACTTATAAAGTTCAATATATATAGAGTTCAATACTCACCGAGTTCAATAATCATAGTGTCCAATACTTATAAAGTTCAATGCTTATTGAGTCCAATACTCATAGAGTTCAATATTTATAGAGTTCAGTACTCATAATTTCCAATACTCATAGAGTTCAGTAATCATAGTGTCCAATACACATAAAGTTTAATACTTATAAAGTTCAATACTCATAGAGTTCAATACTTATAGAGTTGAATACTAGTTATTTGAGTTATCACTTTGGCTGAAGTGTATTTGTTATTGTATTTGGATGTCAGAATAGTACATTTACTTATAAGGGTTGTGTGTGGTCATATCTTTGTTATTCATTTTAAAATAATTGGACATACTGAGAATTTAAGAAAGTATTTGTAATCTTTTGTTTTCTTTTAAATAGTTTAACATGCCTTTGTTGTAACTCATATTTGCTTCGTATGGTTCCTTTCTAGGCCCAGCTTCATAAGCATTTTTCTGTTTTCATTAAGAGTTGTTTACATTATATTTTGTTGTCTTACTTTTTGTGGCAGTCTACATTTGATTTTGTTTATGAGAAATATGATTTACACTGGTTATATAAACACATGTATGAACATTGAGTTGAATAATATGTAGGGTATTCACTTTGTGTTCATCCCTTTTCTTTTCCAAGAAAGTACTATCCTGTTTGTATTAACACTTTAAAAAGCTGATGGCATCTGAAGCTCTTGAGGAAGGTCTTTCTGAGGCCTTACTAAGTTGTTAGAATAAAAGTGATGCCTTGGTGAATGATGGTGAATGATACATGAATTCAAGCCCTTGATGAATGATTCATGAATTAGAGCCCTTGGTAAAGTGAATGCTACATGAATCAAAGCCCTTGGTGAATGATTCATAAATCAGAGCCCTTGGTGAAGTGTATGCTACATGAATAAAAGCCCTTGATGAATGATTCGTGAATTAGAACTTTTGGTAAATAATGCATGAATAAGAGGTCATGATAAATCCTTATTTTGGAAAATGTTAAATAATTTGGAACCATTGGTGTACAGTTCTAATAATACACTACAGTGTCCTGAACCATTCAAGAATTCCAACCCTTGGTGAACAGTTCGTGAATTAGAGCTTTTAGTGAACCATTCTTGAATTAAAGCCCTTAGCTAATTATTCATAAATTAGATCCCTTGTGAACAATTCATGAATAAGAATACTTCATGAATGAATAAAAGATGAATAAAAGCCCTTTCTTGCCTTGATAGACTTAATAGACTTTTAAATTATCTAGAAGTTTGTCAGCATGAAAAGTATGACTTAAGCCCTTAGTTCCAAGGTCAAGGCCACAGTTACAGGTCAAGTATCTTATATGGATATATTTCTTATGACCAGTCCTACATTAATATTATTGAATAGATACTGAAATCCTCCAATAGAACTGTGCACCATCACAGGACAATGATTTGTCCATAGATCCAAGGTCAAGATGATACTTAGTGGTGAAAAAAAAAAAGGTTTATCTTATTGTCTGGATCATTATAACTTTGCATTTATTATTGTCCTGTCTATGTTTATTGAATTTCATGATGAGAAATTATCACCATCATAAGAAAATTTTTCGCACACAAGACCAAGGTCTGTAGCTTAAATGTCATGGTCACATGTAAAAGGTCAAAATTCATAAGCCCCGATACAGTGTTTAGGTATGAGGGTATAAACCTAGATAGTGTATTGTTTGTTGTTTTTTTTACTGACATACTCTAGTTTTATAAGTCTTCTCTTCAAACATATTTAAATGAATGCATGAATAAATTAACCATACTTATAGGTGAAATGGCATGTAGGGATGTTGGGTTAGAGACATTTGTATGTATTTTATATAAATGCCTTCCTGGCAGAGTCACAGGTTAAGGTGACTGATTTCAAATAACTTGCCTCTCACAGATGTAGGTTCAAATGTCATCAGGGAAATTAGGATTCTTTAAAGCATACCTGCAGAAAGTCAGTGGTTTTACTCTGGTGTTTGATAAGATGCAAAAGTTAGTGGTTTTACTCTGGTGTTTGATAAGATGCTAAAGTCAGTGGTTTTACTCTGGTGTTTGATAAGATGCAAAAGTCAGTGGTTTAACTATGGTGTTTGATAAGATGCTAAAGTCAGTGGTTTTACTCTGGTGTTTGATAAGATGCAAAAGTCAGTGGTTTAACTATGGTGTTTGATAAGATGCAAAAGTCAGTTGTTTTACTCTGGTGTTTGATAAGATGCTAAAGTCAGTGGTTTTACTCTGGTGTTTGATAAGATGCAAAAGTCAGTGGTTTAACTATGGTGTTTGATAAGATGCTAAAGTCAGTGGTTTTACTCTGGTGTTTGATAAGATGCTAAAGTCAGTGGTTTTACTCTGGTGTTTGATAAGATGCAAAAGTCAGTGGTTTAACTCTGGTGTTTGATAAGATGCTAAAGTTAGTGGTTTAACTATGGTGTTTGATAAGATGCTAAAGTTAGTGGTTTTACTCTGGTGTTTGATAAGATGCAAAAGTCAGTGGTTTTACTCTGGTGTTTGATAAGATGCTAAAGTCAGAGGTTTTACTCTGGTGTTTGATAAGATGCAAAAGTTAGTGGTTTTACTCTGGTGTTTGATAAGATGCTAAAGTCAGTGGTTTTACTCTGGTGTTTGATAAGATGCTAAAGCCAGTGGTTTAACTTTGGTGTTTGATAAGATGCAAAAGTTAGTGTTTAACTCTGGTGTTTGATAAGATGCAAAAGTTAGTGGTTTTACTCTGGTGTTTGATAAGATGCAAAAGTCAGTGGTTTTACTCTGGTGTTTGAAAAGATGCAAAAGTCAGTGGTTTTACTATGGTGTTTGATAAGATGCAAAAGTTAGTGGTTTAACTCTGGTGTTTGATAAGATGCAAAAGTTAGTGGTTTTACTCTGGTGTTTGATAAGATGCTAAAGTCAGTGGTTTTACTCTGGTGTTTGATAAGATGCTAAAGTCAGTGGTTTAACTTTGGTGTTTGATAAGATGCAAAAGTTAGTGGTTTTACTCCGGTGTTTGATAAGATGCAAACGTCAGTGGTTTTACTCTGGTGTTTGATAAGATGCAAAAGTCAGTGGTTTTACTCTGGTGTTTGATAAGATGCAAAAGTCAGTGGTTTTACTCTGGTGTTTGATAAGATGCTAAAGTCAGTGGTTTAACTCTGGTGTTTGATAAGATGCTAAAGTTAGTGGTTTTACTCTGGTGTTTGATAAGATGCAAAAGTCAGTGGTTTTACTCTGGTGTTTGATAAGATGCAAAAGTCAGTGGTTTAACTCTGGTGTTTGATAAGATGCTAAAGTCAGTGGTTTAACTCTGGTGTTTGATAAGATGCTAAAGTTAGTGGTTTTATTCTGGTGTTTGATAAGATGCAAAAGTTAGTGGTTTTACTCTGGTGTTTGATAAGATGCACATATTTTCAGTCACCAGTAAAGAGGGAAAGTCACCTTTAAAATGACAATTTCTCAGACTTAAAATCAAACAGACAAATTTACCAATCCTATAAAATATAAAAAGCTTTGACCTTTCCTATCCCTGAAGACAAATATGCTTAAATTGCATATCACTGACGATAAATATGCTTGAGTTATGTCTAACATTCATTTGTTAATGTCCATGTCCTGTTATTTGTGTTAGAACGAGGTAAACGACTGACTGTTCATACACTGACATCCACACACAGTGGGATAGTTATGTTGCTAAAAAAAGACCTTCCGTCCTTCCGTCCGTCCTTCCGTCCGACATTTTTGTCCGCAGCATATCTCTAAAAGTATTTGAGTTATCAACTTGAAACTTCATAGGTGGATAGACCTCATTGAGGAGGAGTGCAGTGCACAAGAATGATAACTCTACCTTGCATGATTTTTGAGTTATTGCCCTTTGTTATTTTTCAAAATTGATTTTTGTCCAGAGCATAACTCCAAAAGCCTATGAGATATTAACATGAAACTTCATAGGTGCATAGATCTCACTCAGGAGGTGTGCAGTGCACAAGAATGATAACTCTACCTTTCATAATTTTTGAGTTATTGCCCTTTGTTATTTTTCATACCTAATTTTTCACCTGAGTGGAGCATAACTCAAAAAGTGTTTGAGATATCAACATGAAATGTCATAGGTGGATAGATCTTATTGAGGAGGAATGTTGTACGCAAGAATGATAACTCTTCCCTATACAATTTTTGAGTTATTGCCCTTTGTTTTTTTTTTATGCTATTTTGTCCAGAGCTTATCTCAAAAAGTATTTGAGGTATCAACTTCAAACTTCAAAGGTGGATGGATCTCATTGAGGAGGAGTGCAGTGCTTAAGAATGATAACTCTACCCTGCATTATTTTTGAGTTATTGCCCTTTGTTATTTTTCAAAATTAATTTTTGTCCAGAGCATAACTCAAAAAGCCTTTGAGATATCAAAATGAAACTTCATAGGTGCATAGATCTCACTCAGGAGGTGTGCACTGCACAAGAATGATAACTCTACCTTTTATAATTTTTGAGTTATTGCCCTTTGTTCTTTTTCATACTTAATTTTTCAATTCCATTTTTTTCTCAAAAAGTATTTGAGGTATCAACTTGAAACTTCATAGGTGGATAGATTTTACTGAGGAGGGATGCAGCACAAAAGAATGATAACCTACCCTGCATTATTTTTCAGTAATTGCCCTTTGTTATTTTCAGCCATCAGTATTCACATAGGTTTCAAATCTGTAATCACTATAGCCATCAGTTTTCATTACCAAAAGACCTCTTAAAATGGAATAATTCTGCTCTACTACATATACATTCTTCCAATGAGCAAACACATTCGGCGGGGGATGGCCATGTTGACATGGCTCTTGTTCTTTATAACATCTGTACTTTCTTGAAAAAAATTCATCTTAAAATGTACACAAATATAGGAATTCTTTATTAAATGCTCATCTAAGGTTATATGGGCTTTCAACCATTTACAGATAGCCATATAACATGTCAAAACTGTTTGTAAATTAAATTTTATATACATGTTTGTACATATACTCTTTGTATTTCATAAATATTTTTATTTCTAGGTATGTTGAAGTAGGAAAGATGGAAAACCCACCAGAAAAACTTTTGCCCTCACAATTCGTGCTACCTCAAGGTATTGAAATGTAAGTACTTTATTAAAACCAAAGTGTGCTAAAGTACCAATGCAACAGAATTTTATCCGTGAATTGAAAGTAGAAATTTACGAAGGCCTGATACGGCTATACTTATATACTTTCATTTTTATTTATCTAACTTTTTTGATTTTTGTATCATGGTTCAGTTTCCAAAAAGCACTCATTTGCCATACACATGAAATATATTTTGCTTTTTTTGCTTTATTCGCAATTAGTATAATTATATTGAAGTAGTATTTTGTATGAAAATCAAATTACTAATTTGTTTACATTTAGCTACTTTTACGACACATAACTGCAATTGAGCTCTACTTTCTTCAGTATTTAAACATGTATTATGCTCTTAATCCATTATTAAAACATTATTAGACACATATTTGACATTTTCTAAAGAATTAAAAAATTATGGATTTCTAAAACATAATGTGTCTTAAAGCATATAATATTCATTACCTTTTATATCTATTCTTTTTTTATTTATTTAATTTGACCCGTTATAATATCTCATCATTTTAGAAGATGATACTGGTTTGATCCTTTGGCAAGTCTGATAATTGAGCCGTGTCACGACAAAACCAACATAGTGCGTTTTTGACCAGCATGGATCCAGACCCGCCTGCACATCCGTACATCAGTTTCTCTACTTGTAATAGGGTTGGTAAGCAAACAACATGGATCCAGATCAGACTGCGCGGATGCGCAGGCTGGTCTGGATCCATGCTGGTTGCAAACCCATTATGTTGGTTTTGTCATGACACGGCTCAATTGATCTTAGACATTATAGTTCTGATAACTATAGTTCTAATGGTCATTTTGTTGTCTCTCACAACTGATTAAGAAATCATGTGGGATTAGTAGTGATGTCACTTGCGGGAAAATTAATAGTTATATAATGCCACTTTAAATAAGTTGAGTTTATACTAATTTATTTTAGTTTGATTGTGTAGGATGATATAAGCTTATTGAAAGATTCTTGAATCCATGCCTGGAACCAACCAGTACTAAGCAATGAGTGTAAAGTTCTTTGCTCACGGAAACAACGGCTTGCCCCTGATGGGGTTTGAACTGGCATGCAGCCTGGCTATCCTTGGATTAATAGTCCGAGGAGTTAACCACTCAGTGTTGGGCCATGTTAAATTGAATGCCACGTTAATTTTAATTTATTTATCAATTTTAGAAAGCCATTGGGAGAATACAGGAGTGATATATACTGTGTGGAAGAGCCGTCAGTGTGTAAGAGATCATCAGCACTGTATGTACAGTATGTTAACTGCGGCATGCACGGGGCATCGGAACCTTCAGCTCAAAATAAAGAAATCTACAGAAACTATATAAGGAAACTGTATCAGTAATTTACATGTACATGAATGTATTAAAAAAAAAGGGCACAAAATATGTTGAAAAATTAACAAACAGGACAATGAATAGGAAATTCATTTGTTAAGACCTAAAATAAACACACAAGTCACAAGAACACGAACATTCTGTTCGTTTGGACCTACAGAATATAGGATAATTGTGATTTTTTTTAAGATAAAATTGTTAGTTTTTTGATGGAGTTACTTTGAAAATATATCACTTCTGGATGGATTTTCTTAAAAGACACATGTCACTTCGCTCTTTGAGTAGTGTCTGGGTTCCAGTCTGTTGATTTTTCATGTTTTTCTTTTTTGGGCAAATCGACAATTAGAAACTTAACAACCAATGATAGCGACATGCTCGTGTGAAATAGCATATTTATTATGAAAAAAAAGGAAAATATATCAATGCCTAAATCCCAGGTTAAACATTGAGTGATCAGTGACAAGAAAAAATTATAAATGCCATTAATATAAAGCCACTATCTTGCAACAATTATATTAAAGTGAATTGGTCTACAAAAAGCACATTTTCCATGAAGTATTTCAAATATTGATTAAAGTGACATTACGCCCATCCAAGTGTATAAATGAGTGAACAGGTGAAAGTCAAAATAAGTTTTCATTTTGCCATAATTCCTTTTAATAAAAACGATTATTTCACATTAACAGTAAACAACGCATGGATCCAAATGATTTTTTCTTAAATATCCATTAGAATTTACCTGTAACGTTTAGTTCATAAAAAGAGTGGGGCGGTCTTTTTATATTTTAGGCAGATTTTTAATTTTATCCTAAACATATTCCAATATGAACTGTTGGTCAATCACTATTTTAACAGTCAATATGTTGAAATATTATATAGGTCAGGTCACATCAACTTGACTATGAAAATATGAGAGCATAATGTCACTTTAAGAAAGATGTGCAAAACTGTTATTCTTCCGGCTTTATAATAATTATGTATTTAATTGTAGAATATAATTTACTGATTTATTTTAAATTTTTTTTATATAAATATTCATTTGATATTTCATTATGATTCAGGGTGATCTATGTGATAATGAAAGAAACAGAAATTGATTTTATTATTTTATTCTAAAACTTCTCATTAAAGCCAATCTGTTTTTTCCATTCAAAAATGTTTATTAAAGTTTTCATATACAAATAGATGTATGTTAGGTTTATAATAGGGCAACATACAATATTTAAGAAGGATTAAGGCCTTCTATTTTCCATTAATTAGATGATTTAGGATAAGATTATGAAATCAATGATCATGAATAGTGTTTTAAAATTGGAATTGTCGAAGATTGTGTTAATTTTAGACATACCTTTATTTTAATTAATTAGGGACAATGTGCAATAAATTTGTATAATTTATGATCTCAGAGTCAAAGTCAGTATGTGTTGGGATGTGAGGATGGGTGGCTGGGGTTTGTCATACCAACAATGTATTGATCATTTAGAGACTTTGCAGTTTTATTGGTGGAGAAACACTTCAAGTGACCCTCCTTGCAGGCACCTGTTTAAAACCACCAACATTCTGTGAGCTAGGTAGATAGCTTCCTTGTTGACAGAATCCAAAGTACCTGGTATGGTTTCAACCTAAATAGCCAGATAGAGTGTAGGACAAAAGCAACCCCCCCACCCGATGAAAGCCCCCCCCCCCCCCCCCTTCGAATATCAAAAATACAGACTTGACTGATAACTATCTTTTTTCACACGCCCAGTGTAAGGGAACTTGGGTTATACTTCAAATAAATATAGACAAGTATGCGCCTTCTTTATAAGCGTTGATAAATGATTCTCTGAAAATATTTATTTACATTTGTACTGTACAATATATAATAAACATAAAAACATTCATATCATCAATGAATTATATTTGAATTACACAATAAATCAAATTAGAACTTTTGTACCTTTAAATTTAAATCTTAATGTAAGTTATCTTTTAAAACAATTGCATTTGACTTGTCTCAATACATCAAGTTCCGGAATTAAACTGACGAGATTCTCAAAAACAATGTTTCATGGACTGGGGGGCTTTTGTCCTACCTATATTTTTGATGGGGGGGGGGGCTTTTGTCTTATGTCTAAATTTCATGGGGGGCTTTTGTCCACCTTGTCATTTTTAGATGGGGGGGGGGGTGTTTTGTCTGGAGGGGCTTTTGTCTGTATCCCAGCCAGATAGGAAATGTCATGAAACCTCTATATCCAATTGGAAATTTAACATTCCTATGCTTATAGTTAAATATGTGATTTGCTATGGTATGTTTTGTTCTGCAATGAATATTTAAATGCAGTGGCATGTAGCTTTTGAAATAACTATGTATTCTTTTATGCGGTATACATGTAACTTAGCATAACTTATTGCACACAAATTCCTTTTCACCAGATAAAATGGTGAAGATTATATTGGGTACTTGAATGTCAAAATAACTGTGTCTTAATAATATTTTTATCATTTATTCTTGAATGATTTTTTAAATAATTGGGCTCACTGTGAATATGAGAAAATATTTGTTTATGTTTCTATATCCTTGTAAAACCCTTTTAATAGTTACAATGTCTTGGATGCCCCTGCTTGCGGGTTGCATTTGTCTCTTTCCAACGACTGTTTTTTTTTTTGGTTATTAACATTGCTATTTAAGGCACCTAACATTTGTTATTGCAAGTGTGATAAACAACCAATCCTTTTTGGGTCCTTTGCGTCAGAGGTTGGAGATTATTAATTATACCTTGTTAGTAAACAGGCTGAAAATAGTAAAAACTATTTACATATGTTTTTAATTGAATATGATTTATATCATATTGCCATTTATAGACAAGGTACAATTAGTGGGTTTTATATACAGTATAACTTCTGAATTCCGGAAGTTCTAAAATCCGGAAACTTCTGAAATCCGAACATTTTTCAGGGTCTCGATATTTCTCCTTCTGTTTTCTATGTAATAAATACCTCTGAATTCCGGAACTTCTAAATTCTGAATTCCGAACAATTTTTCGATAAAAATTGGGTTATATCAATTCAAATTTACTTCCAAAATCTGGAAATTTAAAAAGGTGTGAAGGAATATTTTATAATTGAGATTGTAAAACCTTCAAAATACATGTATCAGTATATTCCAATGAGCTGAAACCATTTATCTTGACACCTATTACAATCACAACCTGTCATGTATGTCAAACACTTGATTAAAGTGTGACAAATCAAAAATGAGAAGTATATTGTGAAAAATACCTTTCTTTAGTAAAAAATCCAAAGTTTAGAATAGCTTTGTCACGATTTAGATGCTCCACACATAGACTTATGATAGAAGAAGGTAGATTTAGGAATATTGACAGAGATCAGAGAATTTGTTTAAAATGTAACATGAATGAATTTGAAACAGAATATCACTTTTTACTTGTTTGTCCATTTTATAGGGAATTAAGGAAAGAACATTTACCAAAATATTATTGCTCTTGGCCTACATTAAATAAATTTATATCTTTAATGAAAAATTCTAAGCATGGAACTGTTAATAGATTATCAAAATATATCTACTTTGCAAATGCATTACGTGATAGAACGAATGATTGATTGTTTTCAAATAATGATATTGGTATATATAGCATACTATTATCTACAAACATGTATTGAAAATTTAAAATACAATGTATATGTGTTCTTTAAATATAAAAATGTTAATGTAAAAATTATTTGTATTTATATATACATATATTGTTGCTTTTTTTTTTTTAAAGATGTTTTTTTTTTTTTACTTTTCATGATGTTAAAGGTTTTCAATAAATTGTTTTGTAAAATTTAAAATATTGTGTATTGTTTGCTTTTATAACCCCACCAAACAAAGTTTCTGGGTGGGGGATTGGGGAGGCTACAACTGGGAACTGGTACAGATATTAACATGCAACTTGGCACATCAAAGCAATATCACAATGCAATTGTACAACATGTGTGTCATGTTTCATAACTCTGATAGTTAGTTTGACAGAAAAATGCCCCTTTTTATTACTTAGAAAATATGGGAAAGTTAAGGGTTAGAAGTAAGTTGAACAGAGAAAAAGTACCTCACACTGTTGGAAAAACAAGTTCTGTGTGTGCTGGTCCGTGTGTGTAAATTCTGACAGTTTAAGTAATTACATAATTGGGCATCTTTTGTAACTTAAAAATTATCACGAAAATGTTAAGTGGCTAAAACTTAGTTGTTTATAAATTAATTGTCTTCATACTTTGTTTAATCAAGTCCTTTTTAATCAAATTGGCTGCATAAGAATTGTTTTATTTACTTTGATATCTTCCCTATTTTTTTTATATTTCTTTTGAAATGTTGCTAGCTTGTTATTAATAGATCTCATACTTTTGACCCTTTTTTATTCATATAGCCCTCAGAAGACTATTTTGTTACTTGGTTTTATTACATGCTTTTCGGTGGTTTATAGAAATATATCAGTGATATAAAATTGGTAATTTCACTGTTTTGAATTTAAGCCCCTTGCGTTGTTTCAGTGAAATACCAGCGTGCACAGTACTGAGTACCAACTTAATGACGTGACGTCGTAAATGACGTCACGCTGTATTATTATTTGGCGCGCTTTTCATTCAGTATTAGGTTTAATGTCTTTTTGCATGTAATAAAAAGAAAATTTGTTTAGTTTAGTGTAAGATCGGAATATATTTCACCGAGTGAGCACCAAAAGGTATATGAACTTTTGGTGTTCACAAGGAACTAAACAAATATCCTCTATATCTTTCTTTATTATTCCCTTTTTTTACCACAATAATGGTTATCAGTTGATGATACTCTTAACAAGGCAATTAATTGTTATTACTATTGGTACACAGATGAAACATCGGAAAATATATGTCCAGCTCAAATTTGGTTCAGACATCTTAATGTTCAAATAGGTAGCGATTGGAGGTTAAGAATAATAGTTGTAGTTATGTCTGAACCATCCACCAACCCCCGACATATATATACTGAACCATCCACCAACCCCCGACATATATATACTGAACCATCCACCAACCCCCGACATATATATACTGAACCATCCACCAACCCCCGACATATATATACTGAACCATCCACCAACCCCGACATATATATACTGAACCATCCACCAACCCCCGACATATATATACTGAACCATCCACACCAACCCCGACATATATATACTGAACCATCCACCAACCCCCGACATATATATACTGAACCAAAAAAGAAACTTTCGCAAAGTATGTGCCAGTTGTTCAAGGGTACCACTTAGATGTACACACTTATATACATGTAGTAGCTTGTAAAACTCGTTTTGTTTGCAAAATCGGTCAGCTAATCCCCGTATAAAAGCCCGATATGTTTATTCAACGTAAAAATCGAGTTTCAAAAGGATTGAAAAACTGTACTAACATATCTACATTCAAACTTGGAGAAAGTTTCTTTTTTGTTTCAGTATAGTAATTTACAGGCAATAGGAGATTAACCTATTCCAGCAAGTTGGACTTTTATCTTAAGTGGGACAGAATATAACATTCTGTACCAGTGGCTTCTTGACTTACACATTTGATTGTCAATGCAAAGTCCATGGTATTGGCAAGTCTACATTCCGTTTTTCTCAATTATCCCCCCCCCTTTTATGGCTCCGAAAGTATGGTCCGGTATGGTAAATCTTTTCAAGCTAATAGGGTATACACGCACCACTTCGTTTAAAGAGATAAATCATCAACATATGCATTTTCGAGTTTCATATTGTTTTAAAAGGTGCTGTACGGGTAGACAATACAGTGTGTGAATTTCCCATCTCGATCTTAAGAACATTCCCTTGGCATGGTGATAATGACAAGATGTTTCTTATTGGATATGCAAAGTTGTAGGCGATGCGTGCGGTGTACAATATAAAAGCGAATTGCCTAGACATCTTGGTTAAATGACATTGGTGTTAAATGCTAGGCAATATTTTCATTAATTTTGTTTCAGAAAGGAAAACTCAAGAAACTGATGTTAACGGTAATTTGCTCTTTATTTATTTATTTATTTATTTATTTATTTGAAATGCAATTTAAAATAATCTTGTTAATAGCCAATCAGGCTGTAGCACCGAATATGGTAATAGGTTTTAAATGTTTTTTATCTATTCAACGTGTGAATTTACTTTTCTTACAAGTTTCTTTTTACAAGTTACTAGTACCACGGATTTATATTACATTTTTTTATTTGTAATATAAATCCGTGCTAGTACTTGTATCAATTGTATTTCGTTATAAGCAAATATACATAACTTAGAAATCTGTATTAGTCAAACAAAACACGGAAAATGGAAAAATATGACCATGTTTTGAGTTCATATTATAAATTGTTTATATATTAGATATAAATACGTATTGATAATAAATAGTTCATATGAAACATATATTAATACACATCAACAGTAATAATAACGATGATTATAATAAAATCTGTATTTCAAGAATGTAACATAGAAGTACATGTATACACAGTTGAATTTTTTTTGATATGGCATTACAAAGAAAGAAAATGATACTTTTTTATCACACACATTACAATAAAAGTAAAAGAGAAAAACTTAAAAAAGAAATAAATAAACAACCGCAACAGTACCAGTACTCACAGACAAGTACCAGTACATCCATCCATTCATCAATTAATTAATTGGTTTGATAAATTAATTGATCAAGGGAAAACGTTATAATTGTTACACTGAATTTTCTGTCAAATACAGACGTGATCATTATGCACGTAGATGATAAAGTCATATCATAGGTTATTATTAATACTTTTCATCAAAACTTCAAATCATACCTCAATCAGTTAAATCTCGCAACTTTTATTTTAATTAGTCATTATTTAAAACTGAAAGAATATAGCCGCGCGAATTCACTTCTTGTGCTTGTACACTTATAAAAAAAGGAATAGTTATCATAAAACAAAAATATGTTGTATTTATTGCATCAAGAATAATATATTTCAACGGTAGCCTAATTACTGAACAGTTTACGTAACACCCTGTCGAATATTTTCACGAGTCTCGCGCCATTTTTCAACTATGAAACTACATTTTACATGTATGTCTGCATTCGTTGGGCGAACTTGAAATATTGAACATTGACACTATTGTCTGTCAAGCATCATTATTTAAGTTACATGAAGAAATAAATAAATATATGTTTACTTCCAGATTATGTCGACCAAAAGATGTTCCCAAATCTGCCTCTGTTTGTGCTTGTTCTATGTAGCGGGAATCGCAACTACAAGCACATCTCCAAAAGTTGAAGAGCCGGAACAACCCAATCAGAGTTTAAGTGATGAAAAGGGTCAGCTTGCTCTATCAGCACCAGAGTTTGATTCCAACGATTTGTGGGTTATAAATAGAACAAATGCAACAGCGGCACAACATGTGCATCATTCTACCATTGTCAAAAGAGCTCGACGTGCTTCTAGACGAACATCCAGAAAGTTGCGCCAAGAACGCAGACGACAGGATTTTCCGCAATCGCAGACGTTCAAATCATGCCCAACAAAGACAATTTACGCCAGCAAAAGTACAGCAGAAGACATGTTTGGTCAACAAGTTGATGTTTACCCATTCATTACTATTGGTGATTTGAATTTAGATCAACACTTCTACGAGACTTTCTGCGACGTGGAGAAGTGCAAGTGCGGTGGCATAAACAACAAACATTTCAAATCGTCCTGTCGCACCACGTACAGTCTCTCATTTGGAAGGATTGTTAAAGGCGGCGAAATTGGCTGGAGTTTGATCAAACTCCGAACCGGATGTGCATGTCAGGTTAAACAGAAAAAGAAAAGTTCCTTTGCCCGAAATGGCGACAATAAGAAATTCAAATTTTGAAATAACAGCTTTAAAATAAGACAATTTTATGTATGTTTATGTCTTTTAAGGGATATTCAGGCAAAATAATGACAAAAATATTAAGATGATCTTATGTACTCAAATCTCGATAAAATGACATTTCCCAGCATGAATTTCTGTTTAAATTCTATATATTTTGGATTTGAAGCGTAAATATATCTATATATGTTGAGCAAAATTTAGACGCTAATAGAATCACCGAATAGTTTTCAAACAAGTCACGTGACTTGAACAAACCCTTGAAGTTACAATAACAGATATTGTGGATTTGTTATGCTCCCCGAAGGGTGAACATATAGTCGCCGCTTTGTCCGTCCGTCCGTCCGTACGCTTTTCTTGTCCGGGACATAACAACAAGAGGTATCAACATGAAACTGTAGGTAGATCTCATTCAGTAAGTGTGCAGTGCACAAGAACTGTAACTCTGCCTTGCCCAATTTTTGAATTATTGCCCTTTGTTTATTTTTAAACTTTGAACTTTGTCCGGGACATAACTCTAACTATCAGAGGTATCAACATGAATCTTTGTAGGTAGATAGATCTCATTAAGTAGATGTGCAGTGCACAAAAACCGTAAGTCTGCCTTGACTAATACTTGAATTATTGCCCTTTGTTTATTTTTACACTTTGAAGTTTGTCCAGGACATAACTCTAAAACTATAGGAGTTATCAACATGAAACTTTGCGGACAGATAAATCTCATTGAGAAGGTTTGCAGTACACAAGAAACGTAAGTCTGCCGTGCCTTAGTTTTGAATTATTGTTTATTTTTACACTTTGAACTTTGTCTGGGACGTAACTCTTAAAGTATAAGAGATATCAACATGAATCTTTGTAGGTAGATAGATCTCATTGAGCGGAAGTGCACTGTTAAAGAACCATAACACTGTCTTGTCTAATTGTGAAGTTATTGCCATTTGTTTATTTTTACTTTTTGACTTTTGTTCGGGACATAACTCTAGCACTATTAGAGTTATCAACATGAAACTTTGTAGGTAGATAGATGTCATTAGATAAAACTGCAATGCTAAAGAACCTAAACACAGCCTTGTCTAATTTTGGAGTTATTGTCCGTTGTTCATTTTTACTCTTTGAATTTTACTCGGGACATAACTCTGAAACTGTATGAGATATCATCAGGAAACTTTATAGATAGATAGATTTCATTGATTAGAAGTGCAGTGCAAACAATCATAACCCTGCCTTGCCTAATTTTGGAGTTTTTGCCCTTTGTTCATTTTTTTATACTTTCCTGTGTCCAAACCTCGGGGAGCATCAACCGGTTCAACCGGTTCTTTTTGGTTTGTTTTATTGGGTTTTACGTCACACCGACACAGTATAGGTCATATGGCGACGTTCCAGCTTTACTGGTGGAGGAAGACCTCAGATATTGTAGATATTGTATGATAGAAACAAGTCTTAAGTCATTCATTTCACATGTTCTTTTACCTTTCTAGAGTTAACTGCGGTAACTATTGTGAAATCTTAGCCCACGTGAGTCAAGTTAGTAAACCACCATTTTATTCTATATATGGAGAAAAAGTTTTGTTCCTTTGACTGTCTAATGTTTTTAGTTTGAGGGCATTTACAGAATAATGAATGAAAAATTCAAAACGAAGAAATGAAAATTTTGCCTGTACATTTGTTAATCAATTATGAACATGGTGTAACAAACTAATGAAAATCATGATTAAATTTACTTTTATTATTACCTTTTCTTCATAAAAATACTTAGGTACATACTTAGTACATGTATATATTATTCATTATGTTTTTGTTTATCATTGTAGCGTGGAAACTCTGTTGTATAAAAATTACAATCTTTTCTAATTTAAGCATAAGCACAATAAGTAGACGATGTGTAGCATACAGAACCCTGGTTTTTAGGTCAAAGGTCACGGCCACAGCAGGGCATTGAATTTGGTGTATTTGTCATATAGTCTTAAGTGCAGTTGGAGTTTTTGAACGGCCAATATCTTCTGCATGCTTGATGGGATTTCATATAAGACTACCATCTATAAGAAGATAATGTGTCGCGCGTAAACCGAGGTACATGTATTAAGTCAAAGGTCAAGGTCACAGCAAAAGAGCAAAAGATTGAACTTGTGTACTAGTATTCGTCATCATAAAGTCTGAAGTGCTGTTTAAGTTCGTCTCTGGCCCATAATCTCTGTATGCATGGTGGACTTTCAAAATAAACGAATACATTGATCACCATAAGATAATATGTCGCGGGCAAAACCTATAGGTTCAAAGAAATGAATACACTTTACTTTTTGTCATTTAGTCATTAGTGCAGATTCATGTCCAGCAGCCTATAACTTCTGCTTCATGATGTGATTTCCCCAAAAGATATATGTTGCACAAATTCACCATAAGTGTGCCCATTCATGGTCAAGGTCGTGCTTGGAGGTCAAACGTCATATCCTTGCACCTTTATCCTTTCTCGATGATTTGTGAAAAAATGTGTGATATGTCTTCTGCACAGTCAGACAGTTTGTCATGTGTAAGACATATGCTGCACCCTGAAGGTCAAGGTCATTTTTGGCAGTCAGAGGACAGATTCTGATTGGCTTTCAATGTATAACTTTGTCATTATTTATTTGATTGTCTAAGTATTTGGCCTAAGTCTTCACCACAGATGTATTGCCTCGCGCAATGTCATGTCATGTCCGCATCTTCAAAGTCAAGGTTGAAAATAGATGACAAAGGTCAAATGTGCGTGTCCTCATTCTTCATTTGCTAATGACTTTAATATAATGTCATCGTAATCAAGTTGGTCACATGAAACACTTAGGTCAATGTTGTACTTAGTGATTAAACGTGATATTGATGTGGTATCTGTGTCCAATGGATATATTTTAATTTGTATTTGTTTTTGTTATACAATGTCTTTAAACAAAGCAATTTCACAGATTTGTTAAAATGACTTTTTGACAGGTCATATATGATCTACTTCAAACATTATTTTGCTGTAAAGTCTCCCGACCGAGCAAGTTTACAATTACATGTATATGTGTATTTATTATGATACTGAAGATGAATATCATCAAAAATCTATGCTTCACTGAGATCTTTTAATAGTCTGAACCCCCGGGAAAGTTGAAATTGATTTATTTAGTCCAAGAAGTTGATCTCGGTCAATTTATTGTTCAAAGCCAATTGCTAGATTACTGTAAGAAACAATATGTATTGCATATAATTCGTTTTGTCATTATATGTGCCGCGTCATGACAAAACCAACGTAGTGCGTTTGCGACCAGCATGGATCCAGACCAGCCTGCGCATCCGCGCAGTCTGATCAGGATCCATGCTGTTCGCTTACAAAGTCTATAACAAGTAGAGAAACTGACAGCGAACAGCATGGATCCTGATAAGACTGCGCGGAGGCGCAGGCTGGTCTGGATTAATGCTGGTCGCAAACCCATTATGTTGGTTTTGTCTTGACGCGGCTCATATTTGTTCAATCATCGTGTATATATTAATGTAAAATGCATTCGTTTGACGAAATGTTTATAAATGACACATTATTTACATAAATGTATAAAATGCATGTTTATTTTCATGAATGACTGACTGTTTATGTTAAAACTATGTAAATAAATTTTCTGTTGTATATTATCTGTTCTATAATTTCTAGTTTTATTGGAAGTTTTATTCATTAAATCAACATTTGATTGGTCAACTAACGATAGTAGCATAGGTTGACCTGTTTTAAAGGGGTGTGTATGGAGGCTGATTTGTGCCACTCGTGTTTTCGCCCGCGACCCAGCTAATCGAAAAGTCGAAAATTAACAAGTTAAAATGACGGTAGCGCGGACCGAAAACACGCTCATTAGCGGGGTCGCGTGTTTTCGCTCCGCGCCCCCGCCTTTTTAACTTGTTAATTCTTGACTTTTCGCTTGGCGGTGTCGAAGGGCGAAAACACGCTAATAAGCGGGGGCGCGGGGCGAAGTTTATTAAATTTTATTAATCTTTGCCCCGTGCCCCCGCTAATTAGCGTTTTCGCTCCCCCCATCCTTCGTTTTATTTCTTAAATCTCGCTCTTTGCCCCCGCGGGGCGACGTTTCATTTATTAAATCACGCCCGCGCCCCCTCTTAGCGTGTTTTCGCTCCATCCGTAGGTTTATTCTTTTAGACTTTTCGCTTAAAGGGGTCGCGGGGCGAAAATACGAATGGCACAAATCAGCCACCATATGTGGATAATGGAAATCGGAACACCTGAACAACGTTCAGAAGTTCGGAAAGGGCCGAAAAGTTTCCCTTATCCCGAACTATTATGATTGAAATTAAGTCTGAAAACGGAAGCATACTAGAAATTTTATTAGTTTGATTTGGAAAAGGTACATTATCATTATATTAATATATTTTCTAAGTAACAAGTACAGTTTAGTGCAATCAATCAATGCAATAATATAAAAGATAATAATTAAAGTTATTTATTGTAGATATTTCTTAAAGGCATATTAGGTCTTAAAAACGACTAAATTTTTCATTTTTTGAAACGGGCAAACATGAGGTTTATAACATTTAAATAATAGTTTAATAGAATGTTAGATGCCAATCACCTAAAGAAAGTAGAGCTGAATGAGAACTTATTTGTCGTAGTAGAAATTCTGTACTAGAAATATGTGAACAAAGTAGTATTTCGACTTTTTTGCAAAATACTAAATCGCTACAAAAGTTACTAATTGCCAATAAAAAAGCAACAGAAGCAAAACAGTATTCATGAAATTGTAACGGACCTTTAATTCTTGGCTTAAAATTAATCTAATGGAAGCCTATGTTGCAATATAACCGTATGTCACAATATAAGCTATGCCACAATATAACCATATTTCACAATATAAACTATGTCACAATATAACCCTATATCACAATATAAGCTATGCCACAATATAACCCTATATCACAATATTAGCCTATCCTGCAATATAACCCTATGTCACAATATAAGCTATGCCACAATATAACCCTATGTCACAATATTAGCCAATCCTGCAATATAACATTATGTCACATATAAGCTATGTCACAATATAAGCTATGCCACAATATAACCCTATGTCACAATATTAGCCTATCCTGCAATATAACATTATGTCACAATATAACCCTATGTCACAATATAAGCTATGCCACAATATAACCCTATATCACAATATTAGCCTATCCTGCAATATAACCCTATGTCACAATATAAGCTATGCCACAATATAACCCTATATCACAATATTAGCCTATCCTGCAATATAACCCTATGTCACAATATAAGCTATGCCACAATATAACCCTATATCACAATATAACCCTATGTCACAATATAACCCTATATCACAATATAAGCTATGCCACAATATAACCATATGTCACAATATAACCCTATGTCACAATATAAGCTATGCCACAATATAACCCTATATCACAATATTAGCCTATCCTGCAATATAACCCTATATCACAATATAAGCTATGTCACAATATAACCCTATATCACAATATAAGCTATGCCACAATATAACCCTATATCATAATATTAGCCTATCCTGCAATTTTACCCTATGACATATAAGCTATGTCACAATATAACCCTATGTCACATATAAGCTATGTCACAATATAACCCTATGTCACAATATAAGCTATGTCACAATATAAGCTATGCCACAATATAACCCTATGTCACAATAAAACCCTACGTCACAATATGAGCTATGCCACAATATAACTTATGTCACAATAAAAGGCTATGTGAAATATAAGCCATGTCACAATATAACCATATGTAAATATATAAGCTATACCACAATATAAAACTATGACACAATATAAGTTTATGGCACAATATAATCCTATGCCACAATATAACCTGATGACACAATATAACCCTATGTCATAATATAAGAGTATGTCTCTATATTACACAATCTTTTCAGTTAAGGTAAACATTTTTATTCAGGTACAAAAATCAGCGAGTAAGGTTTCGTTGCTATTCCTTCAGCGGTGCGGTTGATATTTCACCGTGCTCATTTCCACATAGGACTTCTTCATTGTTCTGATTGCTTGTCTCTGACAGTAGTTGCTCACACTCTGTGACATTCATTTTGTGCAGGTGAATGATCTTTTTTATATTTGACCTTTAGGACAAAATAAATATGCGATTACGTCGAGATAAAATAAAAGCACCTTCCCTGCTACTATATACATGTTGCATATGTGTGTTATTCACTATATACAGAAAAGAGGAGAGAGTTGTAAAAAGAAAAAAGAATTCAGCGTTTTAACTAATTATTTATTACTAATAATATGATTTTTTTTCTGATATATGAGCAAGAGGTGATGCTAGGCAAGATTTTCTTGCAACGGTGCAAAACAGTAGAAAATCCTGTCTGAAATACAAGAAAAAAGTTGCAGACTTGTGCCGTATTATGCAAGGATAGTCTACCTGCGCTTACTTTCAATGAAATACAGGTCACTAAAATGTCGGCTGCTCGCACTAAGATGTCGGCTGCTAGACCAAAAAATTTTGAGCAGCATAAAATTTGTTCAAAAATAGCAGCAAGTTCATGGCTTAAAAAGTATATTGTAATATAAAAGACTTGTACCTTGTATGTAAACGTCGACAGTATATATGTAACGTCACGGCTAAGGCGGTAAAAATGGCAAGAACCATAACGGCAAAAATAACCACCCTTCCAATATCATGCTTTTCTGAAATAATATATAGAAACGTACGTTTCAACTTAAATAGCAATAGAAAGTTTTAAACAATATCCAGAAGGAAATAAGGGAAAATGAAAACAGAAAGTAAATACGTGATGTAAAGGATTATTACATACTTGACTGCGATTTTTCAATGTCAATTTAAGCTTTTAAAGTTTTGATCTAAATCAAGTTGATAATAATTACCATATACATTCTAGTACAAGAGTTTTACCATACTGACACCTGTTCCCATATGTATTACTTGGACAAATGCATCCTGGGATACTGTCTGACGTCACACCACAATGTCCGCCATTGTCACAGCCACCAATACATACAGCTGAAGTTAACCATAGCCATTAAAGCAATTAAGGGCATTAATTTGAGACGAAATTATTTGAGTTGAGTAGTATGTCAGATATGTGCGACCACAAGTTTATTTTTTATTTTATAACTGAACTGAAGTGTTTCTGTTCGATATTTCAGAGCGATAGGCCCTATACAAAATTTTGTCTACTCAACATTGTGTAAGAACATAATTATGCTATAATACGAATGTATTAAATATTAAATCTACTGCTTGATTCATTTTTTTTTGTAAAGCAAAACAGTTTTTCCCAAAACAAAACAAAAAGAAACTTACCATTAAATAATATTTTAATGGAATTAAAATCAAATGAAGATTCTGTCTTAGAACCTTTTACATAATGTAAAAATTGTACATATTCCATTGTCTGAAGTTGCAGAAAATTGATTTTGTTACATTTGATCATGAGTTGTTCTAAAAAGAAGTATGTACCGTCTAAACGGATAAATATTCAATAAATAAGTCAAGTCCGTACTCAAGCCAAATTCACCAAATCTTCCCACAATCCCTTTCATTTATAGGCGATCGTTTATACTATTATGTATAATGAAAGTGACATAGTATTACTTCAAACGTTACGTAATCAGTAATTAGATTTTGTGTTTTGTGATTTATCATATACTTGGATCTTATGTAATTAAGCGGATCTTTAATCTTAGCTATAACCGTTTGCTTTTGTTTTGCAACACATTGGGGACAACCTCATGTTTGTGTAACATGTGTGGGTAAAAATCAGTATGGAAGAAAAGTAATTACAAATGATATTTCCTGGTAAATCCGCGTTAATGGCCTCCTCAGAGTGCGCAATAACATGAAAGTCGTTCACCGGAGGTACCCATTGACTTTCACGCTAACTGAGAATTGCTGGTTGTAATTAACTCTCTGTAATCAACTCTCCGGCTGTAATTAACAGGAAGAACCAAAAAGGTGCTAGTTGCGCCAATTGGAACATCCTGGCTATAATAAAAATAACACCGGACTTAATACGGATTGAAAGTAGTTCTAAACAAAAACAGATAGGACAGTCTTTGATCATGTTTTACGGCATCTGAAGGAAAATAAAATCTATTTCGATAAAATTATGATTGAACATGTTTCTGACAGTCATAATCCATTTGAAAATGCTCAATGATGTACAATTATAACAAAATCCGAAAAATGTCAACAGGTAGTCATTTTGTACTTCCGGTTTCTACAACCGTAATAGTAAGTATATACATATTGTACTGCTTACTGTTATATCTAAACATTTAATTAAATTAGGTGGACATTTACTCGATATATTGTTATAAATTTAGTTTACAACTCCTAGCATTAAATTACTTTTGTAAATATGTTTATTTTCCTAGTGTAGGTTAGACCGAAATACCGTATCCGTTTTGTGTATTCTTACTATTGTGCCTCGGCTATTATCTATAACCCGAAGACTGACGGAAAGGGCCGAGTAGTTGCGATTGACTATTGTGTTCGACGTTGATACCCGAAGTTTGACGGAAAGGGCCGAGCGATTGGCTAGTCGGATTGATTTGACCTAAGGTGCCGCAAGTTACCAAAGTAAAGCGCGAAAGTATGAAATTACCCAGGGCTGGGAATCAAAACTGCGTCGTATCCTACAAATTGTAAACAGACGCCGCCATCTTGGAGCGAAAAATGCATGTTTTTGTTTATAACTCTTTTTGTTGGAAATGACTAAAAACCAAATATATGTATTAACACGCTGCACTATTTTCCGCTTCGTTCGGTATATGTTGCTTGCACAACTATTTTGTAAAACAAAATGTATAGCGAACTTGCAACTCGAAGCGGGGCAGAATTTTTATGAAAATGTGTGGATACGACGCAGTTCATATTGCTTTATCTATCGTTTTTTCATTCAAATCAATTATATATTTGTTTCCGAGTTCACCATAAACTTTGAAATATAATTTTGCATCATTTACTAAAATTTCATTAAAAAGGGATGTTTATTTTCTAAGAAAATAATGATTTTTAAGAAACTGCTATCAGTTTCTCAACTTGCAATAGAGTTTGTAAGCGAACAGCATGGATCCTGATCAGACTGCGCGGATGCGCAGGCTGGTCTGTATCCATGCTGGTCGCAAACCCATTATGTTGGTTTTGTCATGAAGCGGCTCATATATAGACGCGATGATCCATCTCTGACGATAACAAATGACCACTATTTTAAGTCGGTTATTAGTGTAAAAAAATAGTCAATGGCGGCGTTTGCAATGACATCGGCTTTAATTTTTTCAAACGTTGTACTACCGAAATACACTATACATCTTTACGAATATACAATAGATACAGGATATACAATAGATACATTAAATTTTGTTACTCATTTTACAAAGATTACACTATCTGCCTTTATTTACTAGAGGGACACTTTCAATATATACTGTTTCCGAGGTTATAATTGGTAATCAGCGAAGAGTTCCGAACAATCCGATTGCTATAAATATCAAACACGTGAAGTGGCGAAACATGTTTTTCAAGAACTTTGGAGAAATGTATTTATATGTAATTAAGAAATAACAAACAAATGTTTTATTATTTTTATATGATAAATATTATAAGACGTTATCCCCTGAATGGGAACTATTTTGTGATTAAGGCGGCAAAATGTAAACAAAGTGGTATTTTGACTTTCAATCACACAAACTACTTTATCACCATAATTGTACTTATTGCCGAAACGCAAAAGAAGCGAAAAATAGCCCAGTCATATAGCCAATGGCGAATTTGAAATTGTAAAAGACATCATCTAAAAGATAAAAAACATATTTAGGCTGAATGGCCCTTTAATACAACTTACGTATGGTGCATTCACCGACTCCACCATCCTGCCAGCCGGGACAACACTCTTCCACCGTGTTATATCGGATAGCATATTTCTGAGTTGGTGTATAACAAGTGTTTACCCTGTAAATAAATACATTGTATGACATAGGCTTCGTGACATTATAGTTTTACAGAGTTACACATATATACATATATTTTATCTCCAGCATATGTACATAATCTGTGTAATTGTTGCCCGCATGTCCATATATTAGCACGGCTGCTCATCTCGGCTTTATGCATATACATCTTCCAACTATGGCAGGTCCGAATCTTTTTAAAAGAGACGTTAATTTCTTTCCGTGTGAGATAACTTTCCTGCTAGAGAAGAGAAGCTGTTGGGTTTTTTTCAGTATGCCATTCATCTCGCTTACCATAAACATACAAAAGAGTTATTTGACCTCAACCGTCAGCGAGTCCCCCATCTTTATCTTTATCTTCTTTAGAGTGCAAATGTTGTTTCTTGATAGGTAGCCATTACTTGATTTACTTCAAGATGAGTATAGAAAGTTTTCAATAGATTCAGACTCTAATTTTGATCAGTATTTGCTTTTGATTTTTTTCTTTTCTTTTTCTTTTTAAATATTTTTGGACTCTGGCATAACCACACTCGAACATGCCTTCATCGTGACAATAACGGATCAAACATGATTCAAGAACCATGGTTAAAATTGCACGATATGGATTACCCTCCGGTAATTAGCATAAACTTTATCTGCTAGACCGAGATCTAAACAGAACTTAAACGAGATAAAAAAAATTACCCCCCCCCCCCCAACAAGAAAAGAGTGGTTAATATACGCCTTTGCAGTATCTGGTTACCTCCGAGAAAACTAGGGCTTACACCAGCGTCGTGAAAACACAGACTGAGGTTAGCAAACTAAATGAGTCTATCACGATTATCAATTTAATGAGTAACCTCCGAGGTTCCAACTAAATGGGTCTATCACGATTATTAAGTAAGCTCTGAAGTTCCAACTAAATGGGTCTATTAAGATTACTAATTTAATGAGTAACCTCCGAGGTTCCAACTAAATAGGTCTATTACGATTATAAGATAACCTCCGAGTTGTCGAATAAATGAGTCTCTCACGATTATAAAGTAACTTCCGAGGTTCAAACTAAATGGGTCTATTACGATAACTAATTCATACGCAACATAATATTTACTATAATAGCCTACTGATGTCGTATTTAATATACTCGTATATAATGAAAAGCTTTACCAAACCTGTACTTGGTACATCTTCTCCAATCAAGCTGTCCACATGCTGTTGTATATCTCTCCGGGCAAATAAATGCTCGGTCATAAGTCTTCTCATAGGTCTCGGCCTTTTGGCGAGTGCATACGTGCCTGAATACATAAATAATAATATGAAAAAAGATGTGCTAATAAGGTTGGTCATAGAATTTAAATAAGTCCGAGATTTTGTTTTCTCAGTTTTTTCCAAAATCAATAGCTAAAATTTTTTTAAGTTTATCCATGTTTTCGACAAATAAGATGTATATTTTATCATGTGCATGTTTCGTAAACTTCAGCTGAATGTTCTTCATAAGGGCCTTAAAACATACGCATGTGCGCTAGAATGTATGGACAACTCCAGGCACATACGAAAGAGGAAGTAAAGAATGTCAAAGTAGAAGTACAATGTATCAAAAGAAAATTTTATTTCAATGTTGTGAATACTAACAATGTAGCAACATCTCTAAACATTACCCGTGTTAAAGGAACTCCACTGAGTTCCAAATGCTTAAACATAAAATTTTAATTTCTTTAATTTCTTAATAAAGATATGCTGGGGCACTCAAAAAGAACAGTTAACCAATAGATAAGTAAATAATATGAAAAGAAATAAATTGAAAATCGTATCTTTGTGCTATTCTCTGTGTGAGTAACTTTGCAACGCTGTTCAATTTTGGGTCATTGTTTAAGAATTAAAATAACTATTCTGAATACACGAAGTGAGCGAATGGTCCGAAAGTTTGTACACAAGATATTTGTCTAAACTTACATCAAATGGGACATTAATCTCGAATATTATTTTCTTCCCCATCATGTCGAAATAAACCTCAGCGGAGTCTCTTTAAAGAGACATTTTCTAACTCATATATAAATTAAATTTATCCGACGCTAAACAGCAAAAGCCTCGGGTACACCATACTGTCTGGCAGAGGGCCGGAGAGCAACAAATAAACTACGAATGGCTAATTTAATCAATTTGAACATTATTTAATTATACGAAACTTGTTAACTTACCCTGTCAAACATACGACCAAATCAAAAGTACACAAAAGTACAGCATGAAATAAACTTCCATATATAAAGCTATATTTAAATCGCATTTTTAACGAGGTAAGAACTCACATTGTAACAACATACCTTGTTAGAAACTCAAGTTTCTCAAGTGACTTTTATTCAAAAGTCTTTGGTACCGGTAAATGATCAGTTTTATCAGAAAGTTTGGTTTTCAGCGCATTTAGGTAAAGATATGACCGACGGGATATCAAAATAAATGTTTACTGAATTTATTTAAATGATAGCATTTTTCAAGGGAGTCCAGCTGTTCTAAGATAAGCGAGTTGCCGTGGCTTTTAAACTTTTATAACACTGTAAAAAAGAGCATTATTTCAACTTAAAATTATCATTTGACCAGTCATAATAATAATAATAATAATAATAATAATAATAATAATAATAATGATGATGATGATGATGATGATGATGATGATATATAATATAATATAATATAATATAATATAATATAATATAATATAATATAATATAATATAATATAATATAATACAATAATGATTAACACGTTGACATTTTCAAATTGAAGCAAGGATTTTTGCAAGATTTGTTTGCTTATCTTTATCGAGCGTTTCGAGCTTAAAGCAGCATGCCTCCAGCTTCGTGCTTATTTTCATGAACATTTTGAAAATGTATTTAAAAGTATAATATTGTGCAGTGTACAAAGAAAGTGATTTACACACTACAAACGGAACTTACAATCCACATAAATTACAAAATGCAAAAAAGGACCTTGCTAAGTTAGTCACGCAGTATAAATATTATATGGTGATAAATCCTGCAAAATTATCCATTAATCGCACATTACTTGAAAATTGAATCTTTTTTTTAAACTTTTCATTAAATCTTATAAAATTCATCTTAAGTTTGATTGTCTTGAAATCTTTAATCTTATCTGGATTTGCAGCTTTAAAAAAAGAACTCTTTCGGACGTGACACTTGAGGAGAGATTGTGAAACTGGCACAGACATTTCTGAAATTATAATATCGATCAGGTAAAAATTCAAAATGGTTCTATGCATGAAAGATAGCTGTAATAAGTTTTTTTTTTCAGAACTGGCATAAATATGAAAAGTTGAGCAGTTCTCAGTAATGTGTCAATCCTGCATATTTCCGCCATGTATATTAAGTAAACTTTTTTCAAACAAAGTGCGTATGAATGTGCCACTGCATGTATATAACAGAAATAATGTGCGGATGCGCAGGCTGGTCTGGATCCATGCTGGTCGCAAACCCATTATGTTGGTTTTGTCGTGGCACGGCTCATTTGAATTCAAAATATTTTGGGGCGGTTCAAACGATAAGGATTGTTTAGCCTATTACCAACACAGATAAGAGATAAATATTTGATGTGTCTAAAGTTTTAGAACATTTTCATGATTATGCATTGTGTTTGGGCATCTTTAACAGCCATCATACTGATTGGGATACAGGTTAAATTAAATACAGAAAACCGTCTTCGAATCGACATGCATAATTTTAATATTTAGCTGCATTATGATGAGAAAAGTTCATTCACATACATAAATTAATTGTGCATGCATGTTGCACATACATACATGTATACGACTCATGCATATATGTTACATTCATATATATCACACATACATATATCACACACATATATCACACATACATGTATCAATATACATGTATCACACACATATAACACTAGGATTTCAATCATAAAACAGTCACAGCAACATAGTATAGGCAAAGTCAATACAGTTTTTTTAGGTATTTACCCTGTTCATGTGAAATGCGCACAGAAATGAATCAATATTGAATGACAGGAATGTCTTTAAAGGAATAAAATATACTATTTACATGAAACAACATATTTCATGTTAAACATAAATGAAATATGAGTAGTGTATGCCATTATGGCCTTTTTACACCGGAATACGGATGAGTATGCTTGACAACTTTAATAAAACTACTTTCTTGAGCAAAATGTAACATAAAACAACCGTGTCCTTGCTCTACGTGCTGCACTTTCTGTTTAATATATCACTTCGTTTGACATTTTCTTTTATCCCAGCTTTAATCACGTGATGAAAAAGCAACTTCTTTAGCATTATATTCACTCCAGTCAATATGTCTTTCATATCGTTTTCATTCTTTACATCCATCTATGATGGAAACAGTTTCAGAACTAGACCCTTTTGTATTCTTGTACCCTGTATGTTAGATTATGGATTCATATTAGGACATTTCTTATTTCTTTTACTACGTCAACTATTGAATAATCAGAGCTTGACTCTCCCATAGCAATAATCATAACTCCTGAAACTTCACCAGCGACAAGAATTGGCGAGCTTGGTTTGAATGGTCCATCATTATCTGGTATATCTTGAAGATACTCGTCATCATCTTCATTCACACAGTCAATGTGAGCATTTTTGTCAGCACGGTTGAAATTCCCGCGGCATATCAATAGTCCAGAACAATCTGTGAAGCAGAGAAAGTTGGAACTTTTCAGTTTTGTGGTGAACATTTGTCGCTTGCTTAGACCTAAAAAGCGGGAAATCACTGCAATATCTTCTTTCCCTAACAGGAAAACATTCTCTAATGCGTCATTGCGTTTTTGTTCCTCTTCTTGCAATTCAATTTGTTCATGTTTTAAATCATTATTCGGTATTTCCTTTCTCCGTTTCTTTATTTCACTGGTAACAATCACTTGATTTGATCCCACCTTTTGTCCATACCTACTTTTATTCAGCAATTTATTTCCGTTCGCGTCTACAATAGTAATTACAATATTTTCAAATGCATCACATTTTTTGTCCACTATTTTCTCTACAATATTCATTTTAGTATCCATGCTTCTGCGAATATATCTGTTGCAATACCAGTAAAACCAGTAAGAAAATTTTTTTCACGAAGTGTCAGGCTTCTCTTTTTAAATTTATGAAATGTCAGCAAGATTAATCTGTTTTCATCTTATTTGAAACTCGCCGACAAACTTGCTCAAATCACAACATCAAATAAAACTAGAAGTCTTGTTTGCAACTTCTTGCATAGTAATAATTTCATTAAGGAATAATGCAAACAATTTATATCCGCAACAGAAACATGACTAAATATTGACAACAAATATTCATATTTCTAATTCTATGAATATATATGCACACATAATGTTTCTATATGGTGTGCAAACACTGGAAACAAAAGCAATATGAATAAATACAATATTGATATTTCCAGTTCTGACATGAAAACAACAGCTGCCACTCGAGAGATGACTCAGGGCGACTACAGTAATTAATCAATATCCTCATTAACATGTTAAAATAGTTGACGCAACAGTCAACGGAACATACAGGATTAGTTAAAGAGCAATCCCTATTTTTTGTTATATAAAATATTGATTTTCTACCAGAGTGCAATTAGAATCATATTGATTTGGAAAAAAATCCGATAATTTACTGTTTCAGCTCTTGAACTGATAATAAGACTGGTTTCTTTACGTAATGTTACATTAGCAAATGGTTCTGTTTATTTATTTACTTACTTTTTGTCACTTTTATTTATTTATTTATTTATATTTATTTACTTATTTATTTATTTACTTTTATTTATTTATTCATTTATTTATTTATTTATTTATTTCAGGACTAACTGGTACACCCTGCCTAACATATTGCTCAAAATGTTCAAATCTCATTTACAGCAGATGTTCAATGTAATGCATTCAGTCTTATCAATATAACCCACAACATCAGACAAATTTCCACTTTTTACACAGCAGCTGGTTTTAAACACATTTCAAAATCGGGGAAAATTTCAAAACGAGGCAATTCTTTAACTACATGTACATACGTAACCGTTTTGATCAGGTGAACCACAGACGTAGACTTATAAATATTGAAATAATTCAGAATTACCAGTACATTGCTGTCTCTTAATATTGTAATTGGCGTATAAACATTCGTTTATAATAATATCACCCTGTTCTGTGTGTATAAAATGTTTTTACTCATTGTTAATTTTAATTAATGAATGTATACAGTAGAATTCCTACTTAAGACCACCCTGCTATTAAGAACATTCAACATGGATTCATTTGGACTCAAATTAAACTGAAAACACACACACACACACACACAAGGTTCCGAAATTATGATAAAATTTCATGTTCTCCGTCTTGTACAGGCTGTACAGTTTTTGACCAAATTTTCTCTGTCGATGTTTTGTACGGAATGCCCAGGAAAAGTAAATATGTTTAGATCAGCCACCACTGATAATTGCTTTAATATGATTGTTTGAATATTCGTCACCACTGATAATTTCGTAAATATGATTGTTTGAATATCGTGAGCATCGTATGTAACAGTTTGCTTCGGTTCTTTCCTAAAATGTTTTCAAGAATATCGTGAGCATCGTATTTTACAGTTTGTTAAAAGAATGCAATATTGAAAATTGAGGTGTTCCTTTATTAACTGTTTTTCCTCAGTGTTCTGGTTTTAGGTCTTTTATAATAAGAAAACACATGCACGCGCAACGTGTTTTTGTTCTTGCCTTTAATACATGTATAATTTTAAACCACTCCGTCTTTTAGTCAAGGAGTAGAAACCATTCGTAGGGTTGTGTACAATTATATGTTAATTCCTAAAAGCAATTTATCTAGTTTTAGTTAGCGAAATATTTATTAATAAATGCTGTAAATATTATTTAAAAGTTTTTTTGTATTGTCAGTACGGGATGGTTCCCCAACCCATACTTATCACATCAACGGGGGGCAATAGATAGGACCGGGAGAAAAAAAATATTCCAAGAAGAGCACGCATTACGTATATATAGCCAGTTTATAAGTTGTGTACAAATCTTTGTCAATGAATTTGTTATTGAACTGCTTTTTTTTTCAAAAGCATGAATATCATCAATAATCATTTTATTAAGGAATAATGCAAACAATTTATATCCGCAACAGAAACATTTCTTGCATAGCAGACTGGCGTTTCCGTGAGTTTTACCCATGCTGGAAATTTCATCTGGCATGGGGGGTGCCAGATGAGTCGCGTGCCAAACAACAACGTCATTTTACCGCACTTTATGGATGAACCGCGGTAAAATGACGTCGTTTTAGAAGGGAAATATGTGCTTAGGATGACGTCATTTCGTCGTTGTTATTAAAGTTGTAAGTTCATACGCTATTTTAAGAAAATAGTTAGGGATGAAATGACTTTAATTTCCATGAACATATATCATATTGAGGTTAACCATTTTAAATATGAAATGATATGGCAGAATATGCAAGAAAAAATATCTGACATATGTTTGCGGTTCGGACCTGAATATCCGTCCCTCGGGAACCCGCCCATGGGCGGTAACTCGGCAAGCCTCGTTACCGCCCAATGGGCGGGTCCCCTCGGGACGGATATTCCGGTCCGAACCGCAACATATGACAGATATTATTATTCTAAATATTGAGATAATAAGACTGGTTTATTTACGTAATCTTACATTAGCAAATGGTTCTGTTTATTTATTTACTTACTTTTTGTCACTCTTATTTATTTTATTTTTTTATTCATTCATTTATTTATTCATTCATTCATTCATTCATTCATTCAGGACTAACTGGTACACCCTGCTTAACATATTGCTCAAAATGTTCTAATCTCATTTACAGCAGATATTCAATCAATATAACCCACCACATCAAACAAAAGTTCCACTTTTTACACGGCAGCTGGTTTTAAACACATTTCAAAATCGGGGAAAATTTCAAAACGAGGCAATTCTTTAACTACATGTACATACGTAACCGTTTTAATCAGGTGAATCACAGACGTGGACTTATAAATATTGAAATAATCAGAACTACCAGTACATTACTGTCTCTTCATATTGTAATTGGCGTATAAACATTCGTTTATAGGAATATCACCCTGTTCTGTGTGTGTGTAATGTTTTCACTCATTGTTAATCTTAAGGCCCGGTCACACAGCCTTTCGCGTTTTTGTATCGCGGGTAAAATTTCGCGATTTCTTTTTGCCCGCTGTTGCCCGTGGTGGAAAATGTGCAAAATTGGCTTACCCGCGGTTTACCCGTAGTATGCCCGCGGAACAGACGCCGGCGACTGTTCCGCGTCCTTATCGCGGGTGAAGCGCGGCGGTACCGCGGCCTACCACGGGTATAATAAAGCAGCCGAACCGGGCTGTTCTGGAGACCCTCTCTGAAATCACTTGCATTGTAGATGTTGGCATCAGACGAAGACCACTTGCCACCGACGTCTATCCAGAGGAACTTGTAGTCAGATGCGACGACTTCCAGGAGGATTACAATGAAGAAACTTGTAGTTGAAGTAGTCGGACTCAGTGTTGGCAGGAGATTTACAGGCAATGTGCTTGCCGTCCATTGCACCAATGACATGCGGAAAGTTCCAACTGTTCATCCAATTGTCACTAATCTGACGCTACTCTGCAGCAGTCTGTGGTGGCGCGAGCAGCTCATCACGGAACTCCACACACTTCGCGCAACACCAGACTGATGGTGTTGTGAGGGGCCCTCCAGCCATACTGCATCTCACGGTACTTGGCGCCAGAAGCAAGGTGCCTCAGGGTAAGGCCAACCTTCAGGCCTGGATCAAGGGGTGCTCGCCAGTTGGTGGTCTCCTAGTAAGGGCTGGTGTCATTTTCTGCACAATTTCATCGAACATGGCAGGTGGCATTCTCATGAAGGCCCTTGGATCTTCATTACGGAGCTCCACCATGAGACGATCGTACAGCCCCAGCTGAGGTCTCCTGCCAATCCAGTCGCGCACCCAGATGTTCCGGACCACCCTCCTCCTCCTCCTCCTTCGTCTTCTTTTGTCAATGAGGAGCTGATGGACCTGTACAACTTGGTTCTGATGCTGTTGGAGCAGCAAGACGAGGTCATTACGGTGACGGGGATCAATGTTTACCCCTTGACGTCTGGAGCACAACTGACGAATGCTCGGCAAATCGCGCTTTTTATATTCCTAAAATCAGACGTTGTACGGACGCGATTAGGCCGTGGACAATCGTATTTGGGACGTGTACAAGACGCAATTGAACGTGAATAGGCCGGTATTGGGGTGCACTGTTTACGCGGAGAAAGGCGTTTGTCCGTACTTACAATCGGTACACACGCTAATGCACGTGATAACAACGCGGTACAGACGCGGAACAAACGTGCTATGACCGTGCTCCACCCGCGATTACCCGCTAAAATTTCGCGTCCTACCGCGTGTAACCACGTCTTAACCGCGGCCGTAGCACGTCCTAGCACGTTCGTTCCGCGACTGTACCGCGTCTTTACCGCGTGTGTACCACGTGTACCACCCGCGATTCCCCGCGGTCTAAATTTTTGGGCAGCCCAAAACTTTTTCGCGCGGCCAACCGCGTGTGAATTTCTTACCGCGTGTAACGACGGGTAAAGTACGGCTGTATCGCGTCTTTATCGCGACCTCAAAGCGTTCAACAGCGTCTGCTTCACGGGCAGAAATTTTTGGCCGTTATTCGGCCGCGATACGCCCGTGGAGGGCTGTGTGACCGGGCCTTAAATAAATAAATGTATACAGTAGAATTTCTACTTAAGACCACCCCGGAATTAAGACCACTCCGCTATTAAGACCATTCAACATGGATTCATTTCGACTCAAACTAAATCTTGGATTAAAACTAAAAAAACACACACACAAAAATCAATAATAATAATAATAATAACTATCAAAATTTCAGAGTCAATTTATAATTCATATTAAAACTATCTCAGATCGATTAATTGTGTTACCTTTATTCAAGTAAACCCGCCATTTTACGTTTGACATTTACATTATTTAGACTCTTTTCATTATAATATTTAGTTTAAAGCCACGTTCCTTTTAAGTCTAATAAGTAAGTAGGTTTTCATTTATTTTAAATGGTCAGTACAGGAGAAATATTACCCTTTAGATGATATGTACGTGAAATTAAGACATTGTGATATTGTCAATGTCCCCTGCCTTTCGCTCTTCCCTGGATGATTTCATTTTGAAACTAGCAAACAATTATTAAAATTTCAAAATTGCAGTATATCTTTGCTCTTGTCATGGCTATATTATTTGCTTTTTTTGATACGCATTCAACATTCAGTACATCGACAGCGGTGACGGGAGCACGACTTACCCCCCCCCCCCGCGTCCTCCCCGCCACTATTCCAAGAACTCTCCCGAAGATGAGGCCGGCGTTAATATGCCTAATGCATAATGAAGATAGTTTCATAGATACATGTACAATACAACGCATTGGTAATAATTCTGTTTTATTTATATAAACAAATAAATAACAAACAAAATACAAATGAAGGTTTTCCTTTCCTCATTCACTTCGTATTTTTAACATATCGCTTAGTTTTAACAATATGCTTTTCTTCATTTTGACTTTCTTTGTTGTCAGCATCATAAGGAGAAGTGAAACCGATCAACTGAGGGAATATACTATCATTTTGTTCTAACACTGGTTTCTTGTTTATCTTACTAACTGCACTCATTGGCATATATCCACTGCTGTCCGTTTCTATCAACGTGTTTTTACTGTTGTTAATATTGTCAATGTTTTCTTTTTCATTTTTATCTTGATCAGTGTCTTCGCAAGAGTTTGAACCCAACGTCATGTAACCTGGACAACACGTTGTAATTTCTGTATCATTTGTAGCACCTCTTGGTGTACCTTGATCATGTGGATTTTCACGAAACGCATGGACGTCTCGATGATTCACATACATTTGCTTGGACTGCTTGCTATCGTTTTCATCAGGCTCATCAATGCTGTTCTTATGTTCACTGTCCATTTGTACCTCGTATTGAGGATGTATATACAAATCATTTGCAGACCGCTTCCTGTTTCTTTTTATTTTCATTTCTAATCTCTCCTTTGTTGTTTCAAACGGTGAAACATCTGTTACTTTGCTTTTGTTCAATTCTTTCGGTTTAATATTGACAGTTTCACTAATTGTCGTTATTTTGATTGGTTCAAGGTAAGAGCAATCTGATGATTCGGAAAGTTGCTTGTCGAGAACTTGTCTAGCGTTACTGTTGTTTGATTTAATACTGGCATACATTCCGGATCGGTTCTGTTGCCTAGACTTGAAGGGATGAATATTTCGGAATGATGATGGTATGCTTGGTAACGGTCTGTTTGCTCTCATCTTATCATACAGATGTGTCAGTGTTCTATTTATTGTGTTCTTGTGCTGGGAGGGTAATTGGTCGCTTCCTCTATGCTTTTCTTCCATCTCTCCACTGCGAATTTTACGTCTGAAATGGAAATTGTATGGTGTGTCAAATTAAATCAAAACTGTGTTGAATAATAACTTTTATCACATACACGAGCCGCTTTTAAGGCTCCGTAAAAATGGTATTGCATGGTTAGTGTTATATCATAGACGCGTCAATGAAAAATGGTTCTTTTTTACTTCAAACTGTTTTTGGTATGTGAAAGATAGAATATTAAATTCGTGTAAGTTATTGAACTCGTTCAATAAAATATATTATGCTCGCCAGGCTTATTATTATTATTATTATTTTCATCATTATTATTATAATAAAGGACAACTTTTGAATTACATTTAAATTAAATGTACATATAATATGCCTAATTATAATCATGATTTAATTAACAATCTCTCAGCGTATTTGGGATGACATTGAGCAAATACACTTTTATGTCAAAAGCTATAGTGAAGTATTATCGGTATTTTATTGTTATGGTAATGTATTTTAAATATCTAACGCTTAATCTAAAATGCCTGCAGAGAAACGTCTATTTATTGTTCGTACATTATATGAACGGTTGAACGAAGATATCATATCTATTACCGACTTAAAACGGGTGACAACAGATAGATAACATTAGAGCTTTGACATCTTAATAAAGTTTTGTTAAAAGCTATCTAAATTAAGTAAAAATAATAAATGCTGTAGTCACAGGTGTGTTTAATTTATTGATCTACTTTCATAGCAAATAAATGATATGGCACTATTCAAATTATTTTGTTTCAACTTGACCTAAACGTTTGTTGCAAATAAATTACATGGAACTTTGTACCAATTATTCTTATATGCTAATCATGCCGCCTTAAAAACTAAATAATTCAGTGTAAATTATTGCCAAAAATGCTCAGATCATTTTCTTACAATACACTATAATAACGTGGGATAACACTATAATAACGTCAATAAAAACGTTGTTTTTTTTTTGAAAATGGAATTGACTTAACGAAAATTTTACATATACTCCTAGGTAAAATGACGCCTGTGAAACGTCCCTGTGAAATCAATAATACAAGGGCAAATATATAACTTTGAATTTGTTAGGTGACGTCAAACAACAACAACAAAACTTATAGTATATAAATATTAAATTTTGTTAACGGAGTTCAAGTAGCAAGTGTAAATAATTATATTTGCTGCAGCTTAGTGACGTCAATCAAATGCCAGATGAATTAACTAAAAGTCAATGATAAATAAACATACAATTGCGTCTGTTATGTCAGGTGAACGATGACTAAGTGTACACATATTTGTTAAGTATATGTTAGTGTTCATCCGCGATGTTCTACAGAAATTAGAAAGATAGCGACAGGAGAATGTTTCTAATTTCTGTAGAACAGCACGGATGAATACTAACATATTTAGTGTCAAGCTTTATTTGACCTCATTATCAGTCACTTTATTACGTCACTATGCGGTTTTATGAAGTACTATGAAAAATAGAAGTCGACTATGGACGAATTCGATATAGTATCGATTTTGTTCTTCTATGAAAATTAACGCACAAAAGTACACCGTTTTCATTGGATGACAAATAAAGTTGGACACTAATTTTTGTTTGACGCCAAATAAAATAAAAAATAAATGGAAACTGAAATCAATGACAAAATTAATGTATATAATATATCAGAAATTTACCTTGCTATGAAGAACAGCATGCACGAGATAAATAATAGGAAGATTAATCCGAGGCCAATTATCACACCAACAACAACCACTGAAATATACAGATAATATTGTTGTTAAACAAACCATTCCAAATCTTATATGCCATCCTAGGTCCAAGTAAAAGATGTAAAAATCTAGTCAAATCTTATATGTATGTATGTATATGAGTATCCGAAGAGAAGGTTTTCTTGTTGGTATTCAAATGTCCAAGTAAGAAAGAACTATTCAAATGCATGAGGCAGTATAGAAACACATTATGTTAAAACTGAGAAACTATACTTGAATTATAATTAAACATTACTGTCGAAGATAGTTGTAATATGCGATGGTTAGGAATGCATCATCTTGATGATGATGATGATGAAAAAAGTAGAAGAAAAAAATAAAATGATGATGATGATGGTTATAAAGTTGGTAATGGTGGTGTTGGTGGTGGTTGTGATGATAATGATGATGATGATGATGATGATGAAAAAGATAAAGTAGAAGAAAAGACAAAGGATGGTGATGATATAGATGGTGATGGTGGTGTGGATTTTGACGACGACGACAATGACGCTCACAATGATTGAGGAAAAATGCATGCGAAAAATATTGCATAAATATGGTCTTTTATCGGTAACGGTCCTGAACAAGTTACGGGGGCTATGGTAACCAAATCGAGTAATGTCTTTTTATGGTGTTTAGCTTGTTGTGCTGTGATGTAAACTGTGCCTAGCCTATTGTATGAGTAGTATATATTGGTACTGATATTTGAAGAACGTTTAGTTCTGCTCAATAAGATAGGCTAGGTCTTTTTAAGATTTCGGAAACAGCTATCAATTAAAATAACAAAATAGTTAACTGACGAGGCTGAATAGTCGTCATTACCTGGTTTGCTTACATGCAAAGTCACGTGGTTCCGCTTACATATAAACCACAGGCGCTAGTCACATAATCAAATATTTTACATAATCGGCCTATATATGTATATTACATGTAATATGTTGTTATAGTATATAGCCAATATAGAACATAAAAAAGTTTGTTTCAATCACCTGTTATATAAACTATACATTAAAATTAATACATTTATAAACTTAAATAGATTATTTACATGAATCAGTTGATTCTCCCGTTACAAACGTTTTAACAGTCGTCGATGGCTTCACTGTTGAACCATTAGTTCCATTGATCCCTGCTGCCGTTGTACTTATCAAGGGCGGAAAACATGTCACTTTTAAAACCGTTCCAGATTCTGTAAGAAAATAAATAATAAAAATAATAAGAAATGCATGTTTATAACCCTTTTATCAATATTACTGAAAAATTAGATATCTTTTTAAAATATATTTTTAATGCGACTGAATCTATTTTAATTCCCTCACGAATTGGTCTAATAATGATAAAAGTAAGTTAATACTATTAATTCAACTTTAAATGATAAAGTATACTTGAAAGAAATGGTCAGATACTTGTGCGCATCTTTTAGTCCCTGATACAAAAGAAAAAAATCTTTTAAAAAAAGAAAATTTAGAATCGTTTTGAAGAGACTTTGGACTTGTACTAACCTTTTTGTTTCTTATACACAAGAAAGAAATCTTTTAAATAAGGAGAAAGTTTGAAATCGTTTTGAAGAAACTTTAAAAACATCGGTTGTTTTATTCAGGAAAAATTATTCAAATAGTTATGGATAATCAATCTTCAAGAAATTACAATATTTTTATATATCGAAAGTGGTAGTGACTACTAAGTTTTAATAAATTTGAACTTTTTTCATTTCTATATTTCATTTGCACGCTTACATTGAAATATATTTGAATTGCACATATACACATGTACTACAAATTAACGCTGAGTTTAGGTAGAAATTAAAAGTATATTATATGTGTTTATACGACGATCTTAATATGCAAATTGATTCAAACTTCTGTCATAGAACAATACAAGTTTTGTCTCAATTATGACGATGATGACTTGTGAAAATGACTCATAATTCCCGTGAATAAATTTGCAGTCAGCTATTTTACAATATTCAGTCATGAACTTTATAAAATAATATTATATGTTTCTTGAATTTTATATGATAAAAATAAACAAATATAGAAATAAATAGATTTCTTCTGGATATTGTCGCGAAAACAAATAGTTTAAAGATGAATTATATATGAACATGATAAATAACAGTATCCATTTAATCAGTAATATATCATAGTATATTATAGAAATGACTTTAACAATTTCTATTAAAGAATTATTTCGGTACACCATTATTTTGATCAAGTCTTACATTCAAATAAGTTCGGACAGGCATCGAAAAAGACACTAAGGAAGTGGTTCGGATTTTTGACCCTCTTATCCACCCGTATTTTAAATTATAATTGAGCCGCGTCACGACAAAACCAACATAATGGGTTTGCGAGCAGCATGGATCAAGACGCGCAGTCTGATCAGGATCCATGTTGTTCGCTTACCAACTCTATAACAAGTAGAGATACTGATAGCGAACAGCATGGATCCTGTCAGACTGCGCGGATGCGCAGGCTGGTCTGGATCCATGCTGGTCGCAAACCCATTATGTTGGTTTTGTCGTGACGCGGCTCATATGACTTCCATTTTCGTATCCGAGTATCTCACATTTGATATTTTTCATCATTTTTTTGCAATCGAGTTCAAATAAGTTCTCAATGGTTTGAATTTTAAGTGTAAGGGTTTTGGGATTACGATTTGCATGATTTTTATAGGTGTGATCGGATCAGAATAACATCGGGTAACTTTTTACAATATATGACCTTATGTGTAACAGAGTGCCGTAAAAACACGTGCCATATTACACTGTAGCTGCTTCTTGGGTTATAATGATTGCTCAATGGTTGTACTGGAGTAATTGTTTTCAACAAGCTTTTTTGGAATTATCATTACAATCAAGTTACTTTACCTGGTGCAATGTACATGTGAAGCATATCTGAGGTCCCAGGGTTTCCAAACCAATTTAGTTTGAATCGAATACCTTCGTCTAAATCGTCGCTCTGTATTTCGATTGTGTTAGAGTAGCAACTAAATAAATGTTCCAACTCGCCGTTTCCATGCCTTACTTCGACATTCTTGTTGCAGGCGTTATTATCAGATGACTTTGTATCATACACGTGCTCAACGTGCAATTTGTCTGGAACGGGTGCATCTGGTGTAACGATACAAGTGCATGTTCCACGTTCAGTATTGGTAATTGCCGCGTAAGATCCATCTAATTTCAGTGCAGTATCTTTGGAAGTATTGTCAAAATAATCTTTAACTGACATGTCTGAGCAAAAGTTGAGACCTAGTGAAGAAATATTAGAGAAGAATGTTGTAGTTAGTGAAATTTGATTAATATTACTTATTTAAACGTTGATAAAGTGGCCCTATGTTCTGTAGAAGAAGCAGTATATGTACATGTATGTTGGTAAGTTAATGATGTCAGTTTTCTAAGTAGTACAGACACTTACATTTGATACGAGGATATACATTAATAGGACACCACTCAGGGTTTTATTTACATGAAGGGATTAGTGTACCTTTTGGTGTAGATCTAGACCAATTACTATATAGTGTCTAAATTTTCAGACCATTTTTAAAAGCAAAATGACCCAAAAATGAAAATCATTGCAACGCTTTCCTCACAAATTTGGCAATAAATTACGCAAAAATCGATTGTAATTTGATTCCGAACATAAACATAATTCTCTATTTGTCTTTTGAAATGTTTCCAATTGAAGTGTTTCATTTGATCTATGTACGAATTTCAAATTTTATGGTTTTAGGCTTTTTTTTTACCTCAGTGGAGCACCTTTAAGTTACAATTAATACAGTCTCAAATTCAACCAAAAAGTAATATAACTTTTCAGTACTAAAATAATCGGTCTTTTTTGTCACGTTTAAAGGATTTAAAAAAGAAGTTATTTTAATACAAATGTAAAACATAAGTTGTTTCCATAATCTCATGATAGGTTCTCGAAAGAGTTATAATAATGTTTCTGTTATTTAACACACGTGAATACTGTTCTCGAACATCATAAAATGCAACAATGTCGTGCATTTGTTCTTTAGGAAATATAAAAAAACATATTTCTTTCATATAGATATGTTGATATTTTTTTTAAATTTTAAACAATACTTTTGCAAACTACAAGCAACAGGTGCATTTTAACGATTAAGTAAATAAAAAACATTAAAGGAAATTACACAAATTTGTTATAAAAATATTCGCATAACCTTTTACACTAAAGTATAAAAGTATAATTAACTATATTATTGAAAAATTTATCATGACAGTAATAAAGCGTGTTTTACTTACTTATAGTACTATTGCATCCCTTTATTGTATATATTATCAAAAACGCCTGCAACAGTTGTTTAAAATCCATCTTGAAGGGTCCAAATACAAACGAATTTTCAACAATAACAATGCGCATATATTTCAGACTTAAATATAAATTCAACTCGGTTGTCAGCTTATCAAAATAATTTTATTCATGAAAGTGTCTGTCTTAAATGATTAATAAATGAATATAGCTACTTTGTAAATCTGCGTAGTTGAAAAGTTCACGGTGTAGTTAATGTACAGTATCAATGTGATTTAAGTGAAATAAAGCTGAAAGAGTGACGTATGTAAACCGGGTAGCCAATCAGAATAGTCAATCAATAACTTAATATAGAGGTCACAAAGGCTGCACCTGAGGCGCGCTTTAAACTTTTTGTTTACTGGTCACGCCGTCACGGTTTTCAAGGAACGTTGAATCATGTTTCAAAAGGGGGAATTTTCGGATAGAAAATACATTTGCGGGTCATTAATTCGCTAGTCACGTTTTTTTTTAGCTATTTTATGGGTAGGTATGGGAAATCTAAAATCTCTTCCCGATACATGATTTACTTATTAAAAAGTCAGTTTATATTTTCGTTTGTCATTATAAACATGTGGTCTTTTTTTTTATTTTACACGATTTTCGGGTATTAAATATGATATTTTGTGTAAATATAAAATCATGCTTTTATATCGATTTATGTAGACCTATTTGATATTTTGTGGTGAAATTCTTTAGCTATATTTCACTAATTGGCCAGATTAGTCTATGCATTAATTGTTGCGGTGATAACAGACTGAAAAACTTGGCATTATTTTTTTTAGTTTGCGCAATTCAGTGTATAATATATATATATTCATTTAACTAATAAGATAAAAATGCTAATCAGTTTAAGTGTAACATATGTTTTTCTTGGGGTCTAAATCAATTTTACTTATTAATTTGATGGCCACAAAGTAAACACATTTAAGTATATCGTATCATCAAAATGGAAATTCTGCCGCTTTCCGTAAAAAACGGCATATGTAATGCCGTTTTTTTTACAACGGCAAATATGCAAATATATGCAAATGAACCTTGTCGCGTGAAACGTACTTTATTAGTTGTTATTTCACTGAAGAAAGTTCATATCACAAGAAACAATTACCACGATATTTTATTTTTCTATTTTATATGACCTAGTTTTAAGACGTACTGGCTGATTGGCGTCCGCGCCGAAGCGCGGTGCTCTTTATTGGGGTCCGCGCCGAAGCGCGGCGCCCCTTTATGGAATGAAATCAGATTTTGTGAAAGGGCGACAGCAACTTCTCGAGCCTTTTAGTCGGTCATAATAAAAGCCGATCATTCCGATCGGTATGAGGGTGCTTGATTATTATTAATTAAAAATGAAATGTCGCGATATGTACAATGAATAGCGAACTGGAGGATTTCGCAATGCAAACATTTTCAAATGCAATAACCTTTTCCGTCTCTTCGGTTTTTTATTTATCATTTTGTAGTACACAGTGGGTTATCATGGTATGTTAAAATAGAATGATGAGTTGATGACCTAAATATTCCGAAAATCTTTTTATAGAGGATCGATGTACTCCTATCGGTAATTCCGGTCTCTCCCGGTCTATTTTGACCGTGATACTAGTGACCGGCGTTTATTGTCCGGTCTCTCCCGGTTTTGGTGTAGATGTTTGATATCGTTACAGAACAGAACAAATATTTAACAGATAAATAAGCTTTTTTCCAAAATGAATGTTTGTCACTTAGTTTGATTACAATAATTAATAAACATAGATCAACTCTCAAATTTATTGATTATTATTATACATAAACATACAATTCGAAAAAAAAACCAACAACAACAATAGCACGTTTCATTTTATCTATATGAGATAAAAACAATAAATATGTACAATAATTGTGAAAAAATGTACATTTTTATGGTTTTAATTTGACACTATCAACTTTGAAACATTTTATTTAATTTGTTATTCGTGTTTAGTAAAGATGCCGAGGAATTATTCAAAGTTACAAATTAGATTTTATTAATTATTTAATTGATTGATAATTTAAAAAATGATAAAGAAAAATACAAATGTACATGTACATTGTTTAAGAATAAACAATATTAAATATAGAAAGATTAACCATAATTTACTGACTTTTTCCAGTTAAAGTTTGACTTATAATCGTCGGTTAATACATGTGCAGAGACATAGATAACATAGATTTTTCCAGTTAAAGTTTGACTTATAATCGTCGGTTAATACATGTGCAGAGACATAGATAACATAGATGTTATCTATGTCTCTGGTCAATATGACATTTGAATTCTTAAAATTTATTTTACAATTTTAATAAAAAAAAGAGCAGTAAACGTAAAAAAACTCAGTATTAAAATAGCACATAAAAACACAAAAAGAGGAGAAAATAATATTCATAACATCTGTATTTTTTTTATTAAAATAGATATTACAATTATTGTATAATAAACAATAATGCTCAACATGACATGGTAATATAACCAGTGTCATATTTTTACTAAGTGTGAACAGATACCTTAAGAGGGGGTCTTAGCTAACAGCGATTACATAATAAGGGACATTTCCACAAGTGTGGTGCTGATCATGCGTTACACATGGGTATGGATTATAAATGATTGTATACATGTATATCCGTTGCTATTAATAATTACGATCATAAAGAAATAACAAGTAATATTCTAATCTCTAGCATGCCAATCAAAGTTCATAATGAACAATGTCTTCCGTCCATTCATTTTGGTAAAAACCAATTAACCATTGAAAAGTTTATAAGAATATCTTGACATCATATGTCTACTAGTTCATCTTCACTTTCTGCATTTCTTGCTTGGACGCCCTTTGATGCTTTGCATCAATGCTTTTCTTGTTATGGAATGGAATGAAACCAGATTTTGTGAAAGGGCGACAGCAACTTCTCGAGCCTTTTAGTCGGTCATAATAAAAGCCGATCATTCCGATCGGTATGAGGGTGCTTGTACTTATTGGGAATGTCTCGTTAAAATCAACAGGTGACACAGAAGAAATATACACGTGACCTTTCTGTCTTATCTTAATATACCTTTTGAAATATAAAACAGAAATTTTAATAAGAAAATAATATAGAATAAACTTTATTCGGTTATGAATATAGAATGATATAATGTATCATAAATGATAACTTATTAATGATGTATATGTTGAGAAATATGAACGATATGATATTTCATGAGACATAAATCTGTCAGTAAATGACAATAAAATATTCATCATTTATAAATCATATTCGAAGTTGAAATTTATGAAATCATATATGCAGTTCGATGTTTCACAAAATTTCAAGATCTTTGTCAATTCACTCAATGCACACTATATGTATATATGAGGTAAACAACAAATTTCACACATAATAATAATAATAATGATAATGATGATGAAGAAGATGATGATGTTGATGATGATGATTATGATGACGACATTTATAGCATATAATTCACATGTCGTCTCACAATATTCTTTCTACATAGACGGAGAAAGTATTATGAACATTCACACAGTTTTAAAAATAAGTATATGTATCAAAATTCACAACAGTGAAGCAGGCATCAAACGTTTTTGGTAAGATATCTCCGCACGCATTTTACATATTTCAATCGATTTTATACTTCTTTTTTTCCCTATATAAGTTACAAAAAGTCCGAAGCGTAGTAGGTCATCTGTACGTGCCCCACTACATTTCATCAGTTTCTCGTGCATTCTTGAGTTGGATCAAACTAGAACCCTGATGTACGTGTTCCAAGAAACGACAGCCAACACGGGGATAGAAAGTCCGAGGAAACTTCCGGAAGAGGTAATGGTTGTTTGGTCAGCTGTCCCTGAAAAATACTACAACTTCAAAACTGTATCACAACAACAACAACAACATCAATTACCACATCTCAATACTTTTTACAAAACTTAAAAAAAACGATTTCAATTAATTCGTTTCCAGACACAAAGCTTTTAAATACATGTACAAGTATGTTCTAAAAGATCATTTGTTTACATGCATGATCTCTCATTCTACGTAGAGACAAATTTCTATATGTGTTAGTTACTGTTTGAATAAACACAGAAGGAAATGTATGGTATATTTCCGGACCATAGGTTCGAGCCTTTGGCGAGACTTTATTTTCCCCGTGACAATTTTGTCGAAAGTTGTACATCTAAAGTGATTATTCTATCATCGCTTATTTAAGTTATTTAGGTTATTCGAACATAAAAAACCTTAAAAGCTTCTATCGAGCAAGCCTGGTAGGAAAAGTACTGTGTGTTTCGGGACCGTGGTTCGCGAATTCGAGCCCCACGGTAAGGCTTATTTTTTATCTCGTGATTATATCGTTGAAGCTGGTACATTTAAAGTGATTATTTTATCATCGCTTATTTAAGTTAATCAACCGTTAACAATATTGTTTTGCTGAAAATTGTATGACAAATATTATGACATATATCAGACATTTATAAATAAATATTATCTATAATATTTTTCTTTATTAGGATTGTTAATACTCTACCTGTTGTGGTCGCCTCAACGACTTTACATGCCACTAAGCTGTTATAGTTTAGCTTCTGATAGAATTTTGCTGATTGAGGGCAAGTACTTTGTAATGACTGAAGTTGACATCCATATTTACTGAAAGCAACACAGGTATATATATATTTTTATCTTATGTATTCTATATAATTGTTAGAGATAATTACAAATTATTCTGAATAAATCTTAACCTGCAGCATTTTTGTTTGCTCGGTTTCGAATTTAAAACAGTCCAAATACAAGAAACTAAGCTAACTACAGTATAGATCTTTTTTACTATACATAGATTTTTTTCCATAGAAACGGAAGTAGGATTTCGCGCATGCGCATTCTTCGAAGGGCAAAAAGTCAATAACGAAAGAAACACATTATATCAGTATTCAAAAAACATTTTGATGTAATCTAAATGATTAACCATTTGTTAAGAATGGTTTATTTTGAGAAATAACCGAAGGAATGGTGAATTTAAGTAATTAACCTAAACATTTCTGCATTTTACGCATTTTTGAGACCTTGAATACTCAGTAAAGATGTACGAAGGTTTGATATATAGAGTAATTTTAAAAAAAATGATGTCGTAAATTCCTAGTTAGACTGCACGTATAGACAGGCAAGCGTGTTACTTTACAGATGGTATTAAAGGCTAATCACTTTCAGCTCCAGGCGATTTAAAAGTATCTACGAATAAAAATAAGAAATAATCTCTAAATCTTTTTTTAAGAAATAGGAAATAATGTAAGAGAAAAACCAGTAAATGTTTCCATACCTACAAGATTCCGTGATGTTTGACTCAACTTTTTCTGCTGAGCAATTGGCATATTCATTTTGGAAAGTCTGTGTTCTCAAACATGTTATATAATCTGTAAATCCTACAATGAAAACACTTTATTTGTCAGTGCCCTTGACATCGTGTTAAATTTTACAAGGTCAAAGGTCATGATGTGACTTTCAAGAACAGATTATTTAACGAAGGATGGCCGTGAACAAGTGCACCTTACTGTCCCTATTACTTTTCCTAGCGTATACTGAATGATAGTGAATATGACACCCTCGGGAATAAAACCCGAAGCATTTATGTTAAAATTCAGCGACATTAATTTTGATACTCAGACAACGTCGCTAAAAATATCACCGATGGATTATAACACCATGATTATATTATCATAACCACTATCACAGTCATTATAATCATCATGGCAACCGACATCATCATGATCATCATCATCATGATCATCATCATTATAATCATCATCATCAACAACAACATCATCATCATTATCATTATCTTAATCATAATCATTTTCAACAACAACAATAATGACGAAATTAACAACAACAATAACATCATCATCTTCATCATCTTCTTCTTTAACAACAAGAACATTATCATTCATCCTCAACAACAGAAACAACAACGACTTGTTTTGCTTTGAAATTTAAGTCTTTCAAAATTTCTTTTTCAAAATCTTAAAATTGAAGAGCTAAAGTTACAGTCTATTGAGACTGCAGACACGTGCAAATTCTGACTATCCACGTTGAATAGGTCCGTCCATAGTCTCAAAAATGCCAAATAATTTATTACATTAATAATAAAAATATTCCTCTAAAAACTGACCTGAATTTTGACCTGTCATCAGAAAACTGACTCTGACAAATTCTTTTGTATTACTAATTAAAATGAAATGTTTACCGCTTTTGTTTTCACAAATTAGTCCTGTTTGAGTTGCGCTGGACTGATTAAAGGGACGCAACTCATCTGTAGTACTGGTATCAATATGACAGAGTGACTGAACTTTCTGTACACATGATGCATATCCACCTGCGCGTCCGCTAGAAATAAATTTGAAACTATATGCATGTGTCCCAAAATTAACACAAATTTTAAAAATTGGCATTATCAAGCAAGATATATGTTAAACAATTGAAAATGGTTATTCTATATTTTGTATATTGAACGTAGAAATATAGTTGTATGTTGTATTTTTGCACGTATAAACACAGCTGCATGTTGTATTTTTGCACGTAGAATCATAGTTGTATTTTGTATTTCTGCATGCATACATGTATAAATGAGGACGCTGAATACAAAGTCGTTATTTTATAATCAGATTCTCATCAATCTCTCCTTTAAAGTATAAAAAAAACAGTTTATATTCTTTTAATTGCTGTATAAGTATCAACAAATTAAAAGAAAAAAAAAGTTATTTAATCATATCTCATCTACAATGCAATGACTGTCAGACACATTTTATTGTTTAGCCATGCAGCGACCTTCATGATTTACTTGTTCAGGAAGAGAAAGAAAACATGCACCCATCCTTGAATGACGCGTATTTATTCCGGGAAGTGCACGCACTTTAGTAGAACCACCGACTTTTTTCTCAAAACTTGCTGGATCACTCCCATGTTTGTAAAACTTGTAAATATTTAAATTCCGTGGCGGAATTCGAACCCAAAGCTTCTATGATCAAGAGGTCGCAAACATATGATCTTCGCCACTATGTGTCAAACAGGGTGAGTTCATTCTTACCTGCATACAAATTCAAAATAGACATCAGTATCTGCTGTTATAGGAGGATTGAACCCGGCATTACAGGTCTGACTCATATCCATGTCACAGCTGGTACCCGCTTTACTCATTTCTATTCAAAACATTAAGATTTTAGGCATTTATAAAATAATACCATGAATTCAAATCAAGGCAATTCAACCGTATAAAGATAATAATAATTTCAACCACAAGTTTAACTGTGTAATTTGTAATGCACTTGTAATGATTTATTTTCCATATTTTATGAAACCGAAAATGTAGAATTCTATATGTTTGTTTTTTATCCATGACTCAACCATTTTAATGATTTGCACATTTTTGTCATGCATATATAAATACAAGCATTCAACTTTATTTTATGACTCCAATGAACATATTATTCATCTTACTAGTTTTACATGACAGCTTTCCTAATAAATTAATAAATTAAAGGGAGACAACTTCGTAAGATAACTAAAACCAAGTCGACATGATTTATTTCCCCTACTTTTTAAATAACGCTGTGCATTATTACAAAAATTATAAAATTTTACTGATTCAATAGTAGGCTCTATAAAATACCACGTCTGTTTTTACTGTAACAACTAAATTTTAAAACCGATTAACCTCATTAATCTAAGTTCTAAGATCTAACATCTAAGTTCTAACTTCTATCTCAAAACGGCCTCAATGGGCTTCCGTAGTAATCTACACAACATACATTGCAAGATGCTAGGATTTTGCACTTTTTCATTATCCCTCATGTTCAGACTCAATCAGTCCGCGTCTGAAATTTTTCTTATAATTTTGTTGTGATTAAAGCTTCCGAGGGATCCAGATTTTTGTGATACACGTGCGCGTTTATAGTCTGTAGGTATTGTAAACTGAATACCAGTTGTTCTTAAAATATTTGACAATAAAGATATATCTAATTTTCGTTAATATACTTACCTTTGTTTTGGTCGCAAAATGATGGAAACAAAATGGATTTATTGAATAGATCGAGATATTCCGGGCACATTAGGTCAGTATACTTATAAGTACAATCTACCGAATTTTGAAGAAATCTGAAAACATAATGGCCGTTCTTTTAAATAAATAACAATATATACCTTGATTTAATTTTACCATGAAATATGGTGCTATATCAGCCAAATGATATGTATCATATTTTATATATGATGATGAAAGTAGAATTTGATTATGGTAATATTCCGTATTGTATATCCATTAGTATATCCATGCTAACGGTATGTATTCTTAATATTTAAAAAGAATACCAAGTGGAAGATTCGACGTAATTTTTGCATCAAATTTCACATTGTTTACAGAATAGGTGTACACAAAAAATGAAAATTGCCCCTGCTTAAGAAATAAAGTACAAGTAAAACATCTACACGAAAGATGTTGTGACAAGTATTTTTGTGATTGGGCTGCTATTATTACTTAGACTGAATCACTGCGGGCTCAAATCCTACTGGAAACGTCAAATGAAGAGGCGATTAATTCTTGTAAACCATTACCATTAACGCCAGAAGACGTCACGTGACATTCCAATCGAAATCGAGACTTAAAAGCCAATTGCGCAAGTATTTATATGTACTTTCCCTAACTTGTACTTCGAACTGTCATTTGTTATTTATTTGTTATAATTATGCACGATGAATGGATTGATGATAAAAACAAACAACTTACAAGCACGTGTCAGTCGGGTCAATTGTTGTGTTTAACGTTTTACCCATTATACAATCTTGAAAAGCATTTAGTTTGGAGAACTTTGCTTGGCATTCTTCCATTGCTTTACCTTCTGCAAACCAAATATATACAAGTCTCGGAAATTAACATTCTTGTCAATTCATGTAAGGCTTTTAAATATGAAACATTATATGTTATATATATATATTGCATGTTATTTTATACTTATTCAAGTTCAAACTCTGACTGTAGCGTTGGCGTTTACATTGCTTGAAAACTAGTCAGGGACTTTGGAGTCTTTCACGTGAGGAAGCTATCCAGCAAGCTTACAGAACATCGGTGGTTCTACTCAGGTGCCGGTTTGTGCCTGAAATTTTGCACGGAAGGGTACCTGAGGTCTTCTTCCACCAGTAAAGCTGGAAAGACGCCATATTACCTATACATATACCGTGTTGGTGCGAAGGCAGTAACATTTTCTTTATTATTCGAAAACAAAAATAATAATAAGGTATCATGGTCACAATAATGGAAAACTAAAATAAAAATAAACATTCAATTAAAAAGGAAGCAATATTATACTTTCAGAACAAAACACGGCAGTTTGTGTTTCATAACTCTGTATATCTTTGTCTACCGAGGAACTGTTGAAGTCAGTGCTGTTTTTACACATGGCATATACTGTGCGTAAACAAGTCTGCAGTCCACGGCTCCTTTCACTATAATTCATAACGATAATGATAAGTAAATAGTATACATAAAATATAATAATGAACAAAATATACATACAAAATCATCACCGAGAAGATCTATCATCGTACATCGAAATTCAGCTTCTAATTATAAGCATGGAATTTCGACTGTAAGATCGTTATTCAAGTAACTATAACTTTTTTATTTACTATGAATTATTATGCGGAGTTTGACACGTATTATAAGATGTTAATTAAGATTGGTCTCAAGCTCTTGTCGGAGCTCGAATCAACGACATCAGGACTGCTCAATGAGGAATAAATGTATACAAATGTGTTTTGTCACCAAGGAGCCCTTTGACATAACTTATAATCGTCAATTTAGAATATCGATTAAGATGACCCCAATTTCGGACATAAAACAATTAGTAAAACTTAGTTTAAATTGGTTTAGTTTTAACATAATTATCTAACCTCGGCTGTGAAACTTTTCTTTTCAACTTGCATCAATGATTTTCGAATTCGCTGTCCGAAAAATTACCAGAACTGGCAGCATCATAATGAGGAAACATGGCTGTGATGTGTTACGGGTTCGAACCCATGCCTAGGAGTTTAGACGCAGACATATTGATCACTTGGCCACCACTCCCCTTACTTTCAGATGTACAGACAAAGTCTTTTTTTTAAAGCCTTGTCCCTTTTGGAAATAGTAGATCAACTTATCAGTACTTTATTTATTATTCACACTAAAAAAGATATTTTCAGGATTGTACAAACATTATTTATTTCATTAGATTTTTAAAGCGATTATGTCAAGGTTTCAGGTAAACCTACCTGCATATAAATTCGGCAAATTCGCTAGAGTTACTGGTCACTGGCGGGGGCTTATAAGCAACAAAGCATGCTCGCTCCATGTCTTTATCACATACCATAACCTCCTCAACAGTTTCTTAAAATGAAATAAATAAATACAATGAAATAAATAATCTTATTTTCCATAGAATTATCTTTAATGTTAATTTCAAAATTATTTTCATATTTCTAAATTCAGGTTAATTCTTTTAACTCAATGTCTCCAACTTCTTCCAAAGGATCTTCGAATCCCGCCACAAACGTACAGTTGAGTTCTTTTACTAACTAACGTTTGGATAGCCATCGTCGAATACCCACGGTATATATTCCGTACATACTCCATGGTTACCCATGGTATATATTCCATATACATACTCCATGGTTACCCACGGTATATATTCCGTACTTACTACCAAACTCCCAAACTCCTCACAGTGATTACCTCCCTTGGCAGAATTGTAATACTGGGCGCCGGCTTTGCCATATGTCCCAGACTATCGGCCTCTGTTACGTCGCTGCAAACTCCTCACAGTGATAACCTCCCTTGACAGAATTGTAATCACTGCCTTCAAAGACGTCACATGATGATGGAGGTCACATGACGTAACGCCGAAATTCAAATGGAAATATCGACCGTTACATAGAAATTCTAACGTTATTTTTCTCTTTCTGTTTTATTTTTAACTTTTAGTGCCTACGTTCGATAAAGTTTATCAAAAAATTATCGAAAGTATACAAAATAACGAAAAATAAATTCAAAAGCTAAAAAATATAAAATATCAAAATATCGTCTCGGTAGAAATTAATCTCATTATTTTTAAAATTATTTCTAAATATTCATATTATTTATTTATTTATTCATAAACATTGTTAAATAAATGAGAGAAAACTTATCTGATAGATAAAAGCAGTAGATAAAACATTTTTTGAAAAAATGTAGTATATCAGAAAGTCTGATATATTGGGACCTTGGCGGCAGAGATCTACGCCGAAGAATTAAGGGGAGATCACTGTGTGGAGATGGCCGAACTCCTCGCAGCGGTTACTTCCCTTTATAAGTACACTACGCCGAAGATTTAAGGGGAGATCACTGTATGGAGATTGACATACTACATGATATGTACGGAATATATGCCGTGGGTAACCGATTGTGTAGTATGTACGGAATATATACCACGGGTAACCGATATTAACCTATAGCTCTTCAGCGCTTTTTATGTAAAATTCTTCAAAGTATAATTTCCAATAACCGTAAATTATACCATACCCAGACTATGGTATAATTTTCAGTTTTTTCTGGGCGGAACAATAGGTTAAAACAGTAGCGTCATGTTATTTTAATTGACAGCTCATTTTACGTCATTTCTGCTATGCAAATTAAGATCGAAGGAGTAAGTGTTTCTGGGATTATTTACGCAAACCCAGAAATCGTCAACGCAGCAATGGTATATCTATTACTTAGTCTGGGTATGGTATAATTTACAGTTATTGGAAATTATACTTTGAAGAATTTTACATAAGAAGCGCTAAAGAGCTATAGGTTAATGTATTATATACGGAATATATTACCTTGGGTAACCGATAATGCAGTATGTACGGAATATATACCGCGGATAACCGATAATGTAGTATATACGGAATATATACCGTGGGTAACCGATAATGTAGTATGTACGGAATATATACCGTGGGTAACCGATAATGTAGAATATACAGAATATATACCATGGGTAACCGACGATGACAGGAAGCCGGTGGTTCCATCAATGTTCCTGCTAATACATGAATTTGGACAATTTGCTTTATCATAGCAACTTAAAACATCTTAAAGCAGCATGCCTACATATTCAGACCAAATTTATAAAAACTTAGTGGTATTCGCAGAAATATTTGGCTTTTGGAGCAAATCTCTTGGAATTAAAACAACTTTTAAGAATTTGATTTTATGCTTATTTTATGCAAGTGTGAAGAATCATGAAAACATACCAAGTTCATCAATATTGCAATTCTTTAAACTGTCTTCAGAAGATTCCACAAACGTTTTTACAAAACTAGGACACATGATTTTCGTGTATTTATACGAACATCCAAATGACGTCTGTAGAAATCTTGAAATATGAAAAAATAATCATGACTGTATCATTTTGTTTTGCAATATTACAGATTACAGACTTTTCTTCTCATCTTTCTGCGTAGATGCATTATAACGTTAAATGCTAACAGATTAACTAAGGTTGTGAATTTTTGATGGACGAAAAGTACTTAAAGGTAATCATGAATATATTTAATTATAATTATTTCCCTGCGGTCTGAAGACCGCAGGGTATTGGTACGCGTTTAACTTTTGAGGCATGGAGGAGCACGTGACCTGTTTTCGGTACATGGAGGAGCATGTGATCTGTAAACCGTATATGATTGGTTTATTGACCTTTTCGAAAACTCAGCTAAATACCGTTTGCCGGTACGTTACGGATTTACCTGTAGGGAATTAGTCCGAATTATACTTAATTGAGAACAACAAATTATTACGTGATATTTCTAATTTTGTATAATTATTTTACCGTTTAAGGTGGAAAAACTTGAATGATGTGTTTGAAAATTATCAATGTTTCTTTAATATCTATCCAATAATTTGTTTAAACTGAATATCTACAAAATTAAAATATTCGGAGTGGCATCTGCCATCATAAATACAGATTTTTTCTGCGTAAACTTGTGTGTTTACTTTATTTACTTTTTGCTCGGAATTATTCATAAAATGGTAGGCCTATTTAATCATTTTCTTAAAAAGAAAAAAATATTTTATGTTCGACCTTCTCCGGTCTTCAACGGTCACCAGTTTCCAAAGACCTTCTTCTATATTGATCGAGTATTGTCAACTATATTCCTGATACAAACGTTTATTTACCCCACCCCCACCCCCCAAATAATGTTGAAAATAGTTAAATGAAATATCTTAATATCATTAAAATGTTCACCGCAGGAAACCATTTTACTTGTTAATAATTAGAATGATGATGACGATGATAATAATGATAATAATGATGATAACTCAAATAAATTAAGTGTTTTTCTTAAACTCATGAATACATTTTTAAAAGTTTGTTTTCGTAAACAGTTTGTCCCGTTGAAAAACAATGCACAATACCTGCATGTATCCGTAAAGTCTATAGTCTTGTTGAGTGATGTACCAGTCACGCAATCCACAAATCCATTAACTTTGCTGAACATCGTTTGACATTGAAGAAGCTTTTCTAACTCTGAAAATGGTAGAAAAATAGAGTAATTTTCATTTCCTATAAAGGGTTGTTGTACACAATATAAAAAGGTAACTTCTTTGTGTTTTCTATTTGAGCCGCGTCACGACAAAACCAACATATTGGGTTTGCGAGCAGCATGGATCCAGACCAGCCTGCGCATCCGTGCAGTCTGATCAGGATCCATGCTGTTCGCTTACAGATCCTATAACAAGTAAAGAAACTGCTAGAGAACAGCATGGATCCTGATCAGACTGCGCGGACGCGCAGGCTGGTCTTGATCCATGCTGGTCGCAAACCTATTAGGTTGGTTTTGTCGTGACGCGGTTCATTTTAAGACCCGCCATTTGATACACTAGCTTTATACACGTATATGATATTAAAACTAATTATTTCTGCATCTGGACATTTTATTCTGTGAACATTATTTTTGTGGATATTATTTTCTGCGCGTATTGTTTCTGTGTACTTAATATTCGAATCTAAGTCTTTTCATTCTGCGAACTTGCTATTCTGCATATGTCATTTCTGTGGAATGGAATTGATATTCTGCGTAAGTCATTTCTGCGGATTTGACATTCTGAGTATGTCCTTTTTGCGGACTTGATATTTTGCGTATGTCATTTCTGCAGACTTAATATTCTGTGTACATTACTTCTACATTATTTCTGCGAACTTGATGTTCTGCGTACAGTATTTCCCGGGACTTGATATTTTGCATATGCCATTTCTACGAGGTTGACATTCTGCTTACATTATTTCTGAGTACTTAATAATATGCGTATCTTAATTCCGTGGCAACGTCAGCGCCGAATTGATATATTGTAGATATATACATTTGTAGTTTCATATGGTTAAGATAATAAATATACATACCTTTAGCACTGTCATTTTTACAATAATCCTCGTAAGAGAAGTTAGCAGGCATTACGGCCAGTGACCTGTTAAAGACGTACGCATCAGTGTCAGGGCCACAGGTTGGGTCTAAATGATCTCTCATACAGTCTATTGTACTTGAAAAGTTTGGACTGAAAAGAAAGTACATGCAATGTAGAAAAATGAAAGTATCACGGAAATGTATTTCGTTTTTGGAACAACTTAATCAGTCTTTTAGTATATAAATTTCAACTAGTTATCTTTATCATGAAGGACTGAACATAATTCAATATACATGTTTGATTAAATTTTCATTGATCATCGTTTTAAAAAGAGCAAATTATAATTATATTGAATAAAGAAAAAAACACTCAGTATTTTCCTTAGAATTTTCTTAGAATTATTGGAAACAATTTAAAGAATACGTTTGCTTTTATACAGATTACTATAAAGATCATTTTGTCTCGAAAACACTTTTTAATTCTTTTTTATGCCTATTAGGCCCACTTAAAGTATGCCTATTAAGGGAGTGACATTGTGGTGTTATGTCGCACTTGCCACTAAAAGTCGCAGCATTACCGCTAAAAACCTTAACATCTACTTGCCGCTCACAGCTGTTGGTTCGAATCCCGCCAGGGACTTAGGATTCCTTCATGTAGGAAGCTATCGTACGGAACGTCGGCCGTTATTCACAGGTTTCCGTTCGTGCAAGGAGCTGCACCAGAAGTCTTTCTCTTCCCGTGGGTAAAGCTGAAATGTCGCTGTATGACCTTACTGTGTTGACGTGACGTTTTAAAGTTTTTAAAGTGTAAAACCTATTTGGGACCTTACAGGTTCTAATAAGAAGTTTTATAAATTTATTAGGCGAGATGATATTCATATTTCTTCTTTTCTTTGTTAAACCTAATTAAAAGTTCAAAAATCATAATTGGGCTTTTATTCTACATTTAGGATAATGTAGCTCAGCATTAGACTAAAAATATTACGGCGCCATAGGCTTTAATTTTTTCGTTTATTGAAGCATTGAAAGAAAACATCAATGAAAGAAGAATATGATGAGGAAGATGGAGGATGAGAAGAAGAAGAAGAAGATAAGAAGAAGAAGAAGAAGAAGAAGAAGAAGTAGAAGGAGAACAACACCACAATAAAACACAACACACCAAAAACAACCCCAAACGGTATTTCGAATGTTTGTTTAACTTTATAGATAAAAAATTGTTTCCCCAAACTTCCGACCCAGTGTACAATATACGTACCTACAATAGAAGTCCAATAGAGCGTCCGCATCAAATGATCCATCAGTGTTGTTTAACAGAGATAAAAACACGTCTGTGCAATTTTTGAATACGTCATTACTGCACTTGTCATTGTTAGGGACAGGGCTTGTGGTCACTGCCGCTCCTATTTAAATCATATACATGTAAATAAACAATATACATGCAGATTATAATATTCATCATAATGTAGTTATGTGTATAAACATCTGTATATGAAAAAAAGAAATAATGAGCATAATGTCACTTTAAAGAAATAGAGGAAAGAATAGAGGCAAAAATCTATCGATGTAGGAAAAAAAGAAAGATGTAATATCTTCAACTGCCACATATCGATACCAATTAAAAGTTAATATCGATAACTGGCCGATTCGATATTATATCGATAACACAGAAATATTTTGTTTTAAGTCCATTACGTATGATGCTATTGTCATACGATTTTAGATATCGGTTTATTTCGAAAACGTTTTAATTCGAAATCGGCGAATTCGACATCAATAAAACTCAAGTGTTTCGTGGACTATATTATCAACCGTCAGCGTTATCTTCAAAACAAGCTTGCGTTTATATATAATGTTAACGGAATGACTACCTAGGTTATTTCTTTCCACTTATATAAGATACTATCATTTCCGTCCACGAATCAAATCTTACGAGTACAATATCAAACAACAGCTATCATTATAATTAAATTAAGATTTTCTTTTCAATGTTAAAGGAGCTCCACTGAGGTTTATGAGGCTAAAAACATAAAATTAGATTTTTTTCACACAGATCATCACGAGCACTTAAAACAGTAATATAAATAAAAAAAATCTGAGAAATATACATTGAAAATCGTTTGTTTGTGCTACTCTCAGTCCGATTTGAGTAAAAAGCGTTTAAACGCTTTTCAATTTTGGGACAGTTTTCAGTATTATAATAATTATTCTGGAAAACGGAGCGAGCTAATTATCTGAAATTTTGCACATAAGTTACAAGTATAGATTTACATCAAATGGAGTAATAATCTCAAAAATTGTTTCCAGTCCCGTCATGTCAAAAAAACATCAGTGGAGTCCCTTTAAGGTTTGCTTCGCTATTTTGAAAATTGAGACGCGATTTGCCGTATTTCCACCCTGTAATTAAAATTACACCATTGATGTATTTTGTTTTCATCTACATATATTTCACTTTTAAGTGCCCCAGCTGATCGGTGTTAGAACTACAATTTTATGTTTTTAGGGTTTTTAGATCTCAGTGGAATTTCTTTCACGATTTTTTGGCAAATTTGTACATACACACGTTTATTATATACTTATGAATGAAAGATTGAGAAATATTGATGAAATAAAATGCGTATTTTTATTTTTCCGTATTTTCACTGTAAAAATTTATTTTTCACTGGTATTTTCCGTATTTTCACTGGTGTCTTGCCGGATTACTTTCTTCCAAATTCAGCTAATAAACAAAATTAAAAGGGAACTCTTCCTATTCATAGGCTAAATGAGGAAAAAAGTATATAATAAACAGAAAATTTTAGCTTTTTCCATAAATACAGGATTTATTTTCATCTTGTGGTATGAAAATTAACATATTTCACTCGTGGCTACTGCCACTCGTGAAATATTTATTTTCATACCACTCGATGAAAATAAATCCTGCATTTATAGAAGAAACTTGAATATCCCCTATATATGCTTTAATAATAATATATACTGACTTAAATATTTGTACATATATATTCGCTGGACAAAAGTTTGATATAGTACACTTTTCAGAAATTTTCAAGAAAAATGCATTTCATACGTAAGAAAACACAAAAATAAAACAAACCTTTGACCACGAGCCAGAAACAGATGAAAATCAATGACGTCATTTTCGCCCTCATGCTCATGAATACGTTTTGCTGAATTCCACTTACTTATTTCCAACCACTTTCTGCGGGGAAAAATACATTTTTATTTATAAATAATTTCTAAGGAAAACATTTTGATTTTCATGAACATTTAGATTTTGATCTCTCTCGTGAGCGCTTTGAAACCATACTATTTCTGTTAGGTCACGTGTCTGCAGACCGTGATAAGTTAAAGACCCATTAAGCCTCAAAAATGCAATTATCTTTATTTTCATCTCATTTCCGAGGCATAACATAACAAATTGAGATGTACACTGTTTTAAAACATTAAACAGAAAACACGAGTGTTCTTAAAAATTGTCGTCTGCTATTTAAGTTTTGAAGATATATCTGCTATTATCAAAGCCACATTTATTTTACGTGTAAAAATTCTGTTATATTAAATTCTTCTAGAATAACTCTATGTTTATATAAATCACTTCTAAGTTTTCAAACCTTTTCGTATACACCAATCAGATGTCCCGCTTTTTCCTCAGATATTTTAGACTTTTAAAGTTTTATTTATTCCGCCGCGAGACTTCACGTTCACGATTATTACTTATAATGATTATCCATAATGAATATATACATCCTTATATTGTTTGTTTTTATTTAATAAAAGTAGTACGTCATTTGAAAAACATCCGGATCTGTACACGTGCTTTTATTTCGAAAAACAAAGTTAACTCAAAAACGTACATTAAGTTTATGTTTATATCATTTATAAGTGATATGACATCATACTATACTTAACGTACTACCGCAGTATTAAAGGATCTAGCAACGATAAAATGTTTGGTAGTTTAATTATGTTGGTTATCTTAAAGGGTGTTGAACGATAAATGGCAAAATTTTGAAATTATTTTTGTCCAGTAAGATTGCAGATTGCAGTATTTCAAAACAATCTGGGAAGAGCTTACCCAACCCAAAGTGTTTTGATATGTAGCATATTAAAGTAGCATAATTGAAGAGCAATAGCACAATAGCAATAAAATGGTTTGTCATTGTATTTGTTAATTCTTCTCAGGAAAATGAATTTAATTATAGTGCACAGTCTTTTACTGAAGGTAAAAAATTCATTGAAACGCTTTTAAGTTTTTCCTAAAGTTGGATTTATGTCATAGGACTTAGGATACACTTAAGACTTTCTATGAAACGCAGCCCAGAAGATGTAGCTTATAACACTAACATTGCTCGTAATTCGGTTAAATCTAGATTTAACTTAAGAGGAAACATGTTTTTGCTATTGTGTAACAAATGTGCTTTAATGGAAAAAATTAGGACATGCTATCTAACTTTTCATAGTGTTGACATATATTTTAAGATAACAGAATGATAGAAAAAAACTTTGACCGTTTAAATCAGGTGCTTAATCTTACGGTATAATGTTTGTTCTAGTCTTAAAATCACAAGACGTGTTCTTAAATGAGCCGCGTCACGACAAAACCAACATAGTGCGCTTGCGACCAGCATGGATCCAGACCAGCCTGCGCATCCGCGCAGTCTGATCAGGATCCATGCTGTTCGCTATCAGTTTCTCTACTTGTTAAAGGGTCTGTAAGCGAACAGCATGGATCCAGATCAGACTGCGCGGAGGCGCAGGCTGGTCTGGATCCATGCTGGTCGCAAACCCATTATGTTGGTTATGTCGTGACGCGGCTCAAATGTTGATAGCAAACCTGATATTAATACATTGACAGAAAGTGTTATTTGATGTCTCAGAATTTAACCCTTGCCACACTGAAAATCTGATCTTTTAGTATGACATGTTTTCAATGAAAGTTCTAACTTTTGTACCTACTGAATAGCGAAAAGTGCAAACCATGATCAGACTGCACAGATATATACCGGCTTATCGTGGTCTGCACTGGTTGTGTAGATTTATAAGTTGCTACTGGCAAGCTAAGGTTTAAAATAAGAAGTCAGGTCATATCTATACAGAAACCAATTTTCAATTTAGCCATGCTTTAGGCCATAATGTATCACGAATCAATATAATTTGTGTCGCCTGTAGTCTAGCATCCTGATCAGCTATATAATCAATTAATATAATCATTTTCATTTATCATTTTTGTGCCCTTTATTACCAACATAAACTATCTTTTAACCAGTGTTCATGATATACTGAATGATCACGATCTACTTTTGAGAACATTATACTGTACGTTTGTAAAGTCGCTTTTCATTGGATAATCGATACGTTTGTAATAATTCTTATAAAAGTGCACATTATAAAGTCCATGAAGTTGGCACAAAGATCGACATTAAACATTCAGCTTGACATTCGATTTATCAATGTCGAGATGGGATGGGAAGCTGGCTAGACATTCAGCAAAACATTCAGCTCGACATTCGTTTCTTATATTCTTTTTGAATGTCGAGCTGGGATGTGAAGCTGGCTAGACATTCAGCACAACATTCAGTTCGACATTCGTTTTTAGTCTATTTTTGAATGTCAAGCTGGGATGTGAAGCTGGCTAGACATTCAGCACAACATTCAGCTCGACATTCGTTTTTTTCTATTTTTGTATGTTGAGCTGAGATGTAAAGCTGGCTAGACATTCAGCACAACATTCAGCTCGACATTTGTTTTTTGTCAAATTTTGAATGTCGAGCTGAATGTTGTGCTGAATGTCTAGCCAGCTTCACATCCCAGCACGACGTTCAAAAATAGACTAAAAACGAATGTCGAGCTGAATGTTGTGCTGAATGTCTAGCTAGCTTCACATCCCAGCTTATCAGTGATAAATCGAATGTCGAGCTGAATGTTCTGCTGAATGTCTTGCCAGTTTCCCATACCAGCTCAACAGTGATAAGTCGAATGTCGAGCTGAATGTTTAATGTCGATCTCTGTGCCAACTTCATGGACTTCACATTATAATGTTGTATTTCATTAGATTACCGTGGCGTTTACAAACAAGAATCTTCATTCGATTTATGAAGCAATTTTTCTCTAATTAAGGAAGTGTGCAGTATTAAGTAATATAAATTCGTCATAAAGAATCTTGGCAAGATATATGGCCGTATTTTTAAACGTGTTTTTCCCAATGTAGCCCGAGCCGTTATAAATACAAAAAACACTTTTATATAGGGCCATATAACATGCCAAAATCTTAATAACTAATAATGTACACGACCAATGTGACTTTATAAAGAAACGTTTGTTCATGCCCCCATCCCCCCGAAAAATATATATATATATATAATTCCGCATATTAAAATAGCTGATACTATATATGGCCGTGTTTACCAACGGTCGTTTGCAATATAACTCACCAGTCAGACATCCTTATTTCACGTTCTAATAACAGCTACGGAAATGTTTAACTGGAGTTTTAAAATCACAAGAAATTTTATTTCGTCTTACTCCGTTTTGGAAAAGTTAGGTACTACAATATAAAACATAACGTTAACATCTACAGGGTGATGACTCTAGTCAATATCAATAGGATCAATTAGAGCATATTTAGTTAGTAACAGAGAAAACTAATTGATGAAGAAAATGCTAGCAATCAATATATGTTTAATAGCGATAAGTCATATAGCTCTTATATGAACAACCTAATTACGTTCACAATGTCATTCATTGCTTTGTAAGAGTTCTTAGCTAAGATGTGAATGGATTTAATTACCCAATATTAAGCTTACATGCGAAATGTCACAGCTTCAGAACAAAAAATCATTTTAATTCTTAGACGCAATTTTAAATACAGTAATTGATAAAAAAAAATCTGACCGAATTTCATATTACATCCGCCATTGTTTTGTTAATGAAATATTTTCGTCAAAATGGCGTGTCAGCGGTCCTTAATTTCAAAATTGATCAACGCGGAATTTTGCACGTTCTCATAATTATTATAGTTTCATGTTCTAATATTTGTTTTCATTGACCTTAACATTTCAAAAAAGGTATGATGTATTTTATTGTTATTTCGTCTTGATTTCGTCTTCAGTTAAATTGACGACGCAACAATTCATTGATGTTATAAGCTCGTTGAAAGTTACAAAAAATATAAGATAAAGTTTTGCCAATACCGTTTTATTTTAACCTATTAACTTTTTTGTTTAATTTTGTTTCCAGTAGCACCAACGGGGGCACGCTTTTGATATAACAAAAAAGAACAAATTTAAACGAACTTATTAATCTGTTTTTCAACGTCGGGTTACGATTTTTGACGACTTCTTTATATACCCTTTATTGTCGATAGAGGTAACGAATAAATACGAAAGCCTAATAGTGTCAAATAAAATAAAGAAATAAAAATGCAAAGGCGTTATAACGCGAATAAGGCGTAACAACGCGAATAAAGGCGTTATAACGCGAATCAAAAGGCGTAATAACGCGAATAAAGGCGTTATAACGCGAATCAAAAGGCGTAATAACGCGAATAAAGGCGAAGCAACGCAAATAAAGGCGTTATAACGCAAATCAAAAGGCGTAATAACGCGAACAAAGGCGTTATAACGCGAATCAAAAGGCGTAATAATGCGAATGATTGCGTGATAACGCGAATCAAAAGGCGTAATAACGCGAATAAAGGCGTAATAACGCAATTCAAAAGGCGTAGTAACGCGAATAAAGGCGTAGTAACGCGAACCAAAAGGCGTAATAACGCAAATTAAAACGCACCATATTTATACTAATCAAATTGCCTAGTAACCCGAGAAAGGAAGACCAATATTGATCTGAAATTATTGCTCAAGATATAAACTCGTATAGAATAATACAATATACATTTACAATAACTATCATTCCATTTGCACAGTAATAATGCAAACTATTTGTCATAAACTAATGAAGACTCTTTAATATTTGCCAATATAAGATGACTTGGTGACTTATAGGTCATAAAGTATTACCTCCTTCAAATAACAATCCCCCTATGAAGTGTGAATATTGTGGGCCAAATGGAACTTAAGTTATGCTCCGGAAAACAAATTGCCAACGGACGGACCGACAGACGGACGGACGGACGGACGTTCCAACATTTTGGGTTTAGGGGTTATTTTCTTTGTTATTTTCTTTGTTTTCTTAAGGGCTACTAGCCCATAAACCCTTTCATCACGGAATGAACCTATTGTTTTCTTTTGTTCTCTTTACTGTTATATAGCCCCTAAAACCAAAATGTTTGCTCGGACGGACGGACGCCAGGGGGTTTAACATAATATGCCCGAAATTCTTTCGAGCATATAATAAAACGCACATCTAGATCAATTCATTTAAATCAACATTGTTCTTCCTTCCATACATTACTAGGCCACTGTTTGGAATTTATATGGTATTAAATTAGCGTTATAACGCCTTTTGTTTTGCGTTATTACGCATTTTTGGTTCGCGTTATTACGCCTTTTGATTCGCGTTATAACGCTTTTATTCGCGTTATAACGCCTTTTGATTCGCGTAATTACGCCTATTGTTTTGCGTTATTACGCGAATAAAGGCGTTATTACGCCTTTCAATTCTCGTAATAACGCCTTTATTCGCGTTATTATGCCTTTTAATTCGCGTTATAACGCGTTTCAATTCGTGTTTTAACGCCTTTATTTGCGTTATAACGCGAAACAAAAGGCGTAATAACGCGAATCAAAAGGCGTAATAACGCGAATAAAGGCGTTATAACGCGAATCAAAAGGCGTAATAACGCGAAACA